AACCACCGTTAATTTGTACAGTATCAATGAAGGAAAACTTGAAAGGGAGCGAGGACTGACCGTCTTTTGAGCTTAAGTTGCTTCTCTTGGCTCTTAATTTCCGACAAAATCGATTCGCAATCTGTTCCGAACAATCCCGTCGATTCCATTCGAATTTATTCGTACAAGTTACGAACACGTCTGTTATTTCAGATTGATCTGACGGCGGAGAGGGACGGCGAACTTAAAGTTAGGGTTTTGAAGTCTATATAAGTTTTGTTACTGTGAACAAGTGGAGAGGGTTTTAGAAGAAGAATTACTGAGCCGATGGCGTCGGCTTAGTGGTCTGGTTGGTAAGCCTGTAAGCCGTATTATTATGGGTAAATATCACAAACACCTCTCAATTTAAAGCCAATTTTAGGAAAGTATAATATGTTTCAAAATCAATTATGTGAATGTTAAAACCAGTGATTAGGAAACCAACCCGGGTGTCACCAGATAGGGGTTAACCGAAAACCGGTTCAAGCATAATTTTGAATCGAAATCGAACCTATTATCTACTTGAACCGGTTTTTAAAATATTACTGAATTGGCAGAAAGAATCTGTACAATACCCAAATATCAATTGAGTCGATATCAAAAACAAAGAGAGCAGCGCGAAAAGAGAGAGAGAAAGTGCAAGATCGAAGAGGTGTGCATTTGAAGCCATTTAACGAGTTGGCAAGATTAGATGTTGGCCCTTGATGAAGATTCAATGAATAACAAAAAAAGCAAAGAAGTTAATTTGAAGGGGCGTTTGGTTGGGGTAATGTGAGATTACTGAAGTTATGTCATCTATATTAACTTGATTATCACGTTTGATTGTCAAGTAATATAAGATACCAGTAATCTTCAAATACCAATAGTAGTTGTTGGTAATATTGAGGTAATTTAATTACCTTATTTTCTTAGGGTTTGCTTGAGAGTTTTTTTTTTTACTGGTTTTGTGGGGTTTTAAAACGACTGGTTTGAGGTGTTTAAAAACCATTACTTGCCAGATTTTTTATGGACTGGTTTAAAAACCCTCCAAAACCAGTGTAGTGTATTTTTTGAAGGGTTTATAAAACACTCAAATCAGGGTGTTTGACTGGTTTAAAAATTTTATCCCAAAAAAACCCCTTCCACTATTATTCATAAATAATAATCCCTTTGCTGGTTTAAAAATTTCTTCAAACCCCATTCAATCTTCAACTTTTAGATGACTATTACAATGCTTTGAACTTTTTATCTTAGGCTTTCTAATCCTTCATTAGAGATATAAGGTTTTCTTTCTTTCTTCTTCATTTTCCCCTTCAACTTTTTGTTCTTTTAATCTAGTAAACTCCTCTGTAGGCTGTATACAATTAACTGCATTTCTTTACAGTTGTTTTACAAAATTAGGTGGTTTTTCCTTTATTTGATTTTTCTTTTGCGTTTAGGTGATGATTGAATCGTTTTCAGTTTGTTAAATAAAGATTGTTTTTTAGGCTTTGCTTCATGATTGAAGAAAAGAACAAAAAACTATTTTTAGAAATGCTGCGGCTGTTATAGATAATTTGCGAAGTCCAACATTGTGGCAGCATGTTTATTCTCTTAAAGTGACAGATTCGAATGATTGTGTGATGAATTAAAAATATACAATGATTGTGTGATGAATTAATAATATACAATAAAAAAACTTACAAATAAATTAAACTTGGAAGGAACTTTGATACTAAGTATTGGTAATTGAAAAAAAAAAAAAAAAAAAAAAAAAAAAAAAAAAAAAACTCCCAAATATTGGTTGAAGTTGGAGTATTTTTATGAGTATATATGTAAATTTATTATTTTAAAAAACTATCAGAACCGCTGGAAAATAAACTCTCAAGCACTGGTTGGGTGTTTTAAAAATCGCTACTAAAAACCCCTCAAAACCGCTACGATGGTTTACCTTCATAACCGCTACCATAAAACTCCCAAGCAGACCCTTAAGTATTCTAAGATTACCAGGGTAATCTTTTTTTTTTTTACAATTCTATCCCTTATTAATAAAATTTTAGGACAATAATGCCTTTATTTTTATATTTATTTACATGAATATGATTTTTACTAGTTCACCCCAATTAATTAACTTTTTGGATAAAATTACCTTTGAATTCAAAACAAATTGCAGCCCACCCAAGCCATCACCCCCACCCACCTGCCGCCGGCAACCACTATTGCAGCCAGCCGCTGCCGGAACGGCGCACGAAAGGTCGAAAATGGGTGTCGTGCGCCAATATGACCATTTCGAGCTAGATATCTAGCCGGAAATAGCCAGATCTATCACATCTGGCCAGAAATGGCCATATGGCACACAGAGGCCATTTCTTACCTTCCGTGCGCCGTTAGGTTGTCGACTGTAGGCGGCCTGCAGTGGTTTCTGGCGGCTGGCAGTGGTTGAGTTTGTGGGGGTGCTTTGTTGATTTTCCAAACTTTTATTATGGAGTTGTTTTTGCTAAATTTTTAAATACAGGGGGTTACAATACAATATTAAAAAATAATATAATAATAATATTTAATTAGAAGACAATTTAGTAATTTAAGTAACATACCCACCAATTTATTCCTCCAACCAAACATATTAATATAATATAACCACCAATTAACCAAACATATTTTTTTTAAAGATTCCCAATAATCTTCAAGATAATCTAATATTCTCAGTAATCCAACACTCACAGAGCCAAACGCCCCTGAAAAATAGAAGTGGAAAGTTGAAAAAAAAAACTTACGATGCTAGAACATAGGCAAGAAAGGGCGGTTACAGTCCTAAAGAACACCATAGCTGCCTCGTCTGAAAAACTAAAGGAAAAATGGTTTTCAATCAAAATGAGGATATAGAAAGAGAAAAGAGAAAATGGATGAGAGAATCCTGTACCAAACCAAATCACACCACCACCTCCGCTAATTCAAAGCTAAATTTATAATGTAAAACTTATTCCATTTACAGCAAGCAGACTGAAGAGTGAAGACAGAAGATTTTACCGTGAATGAAATTTAGGTTAGGGCAAAATTAGGATTTTTAAGTTATTTAGGATTTTATAGATTTAGGATATTTAAAAAAAAAAAACCGGTTTTTAAAAAAAACCGATTTTTTGGTTCGATTTTTAGATTTTTTTCACCCTTACCCGTGATAAATAAGTTTAAAATCTATCAAACACACCCCTACGATAGTTAAGGTGTTGATTTTTTAAGCCAAATTTCGGTTGATTCCAATGTAAAAAATTCAATCCAACACCACCACTTGAACCACCAACCTTCACTCTACAAAATCCCTCTAACCCCGTTAGTTAAATTAGGGATTTTGGGAATAGTTAAAAACAGTAACCCGGTCTAGAGAAGGCTCTGGGTCCCGATTAAACCAGTTAAACCGGCCAATCTTGACCAGGTTCCTTTTATCGCTAATATTATTATTACTTTTCAAGGTGTCACGTCCAGCCCAAATTAAGAGGTCCATTGGGCTAATCCATAATAGGACAATAAAAGGCTTTGATTAGAGAATATGCCAAGAAACTTCCAAAATGTTTTAGAATATTCTTACCTAAATAGGCTGCAGAATAAGAGTGTTAGATCTGAAGTGACATTGTATTATTTCGATTCCAAACATTGTATTATTTTAAGAATAATACTAATACAAGATAGTTTCCTCTCATGTTCTTTATATTTTCTTGAGTTCCTTGTATCTCTGTTTTAAAAACCGGACCGGCTGGTCGGATCAGGAACCAACATCTTTTTGGGTCCGGTTCAGATCTTAGGGGGGTTTTGTAATATTTCAAAATTATAAGGGTTAATTTATATTTTTATAGGGGTGTTTTGGAGATATGTCAAAAGTTTAGAGATTAATTGATAATTTTTGGGGGGTATTTTTGAAATAAATAAAAATTTTAGGGACTAATAATTTTTTAGGAGAATTTTTGTAATATATTAAAATTTAAGGGATTAATAATAATTTTTTAAAAATAAAATTGTCGCTGACATCATCAGTCCGACCAACCTTGTTGCTCGGATCATGAGTCAACCGGTCCAACCAATTGGACCAGTTGACTCATGATCGGAGCAACAAAACGGGTTACCCTCCGGTTCGGGTTTTAAAACAATACCTTGTAAGAGTATTTTCCAGACACCATACTCCCCGTTACAAAAGGAATCATAAGAGAAAAATCTTATTATAGTAAGTAAAATAAAATGGAAAATGACATTTTAGCCCTTTTGACCATACAACATAATCAAATTACAAAATAAATTGTTCAATAAATAATTACCGATGCTATTATCATTTATTTATCCGCTCATAGACATTGCAATTTGATTGCAAATTTAATTAACCTACACAATCTCACGTCTTTTTGCAGCCATTCTATTTTCAAAGTACTTTGTGGGGCTTAGTATTAACCCTAAAAAAAATCTAAGAAAAATTATGGCGAACAATGAACATACGAAAATCTTCACTTGCTGAGAAGTTGAAGCTTCGGCAGTGTAACTTCAAACCATGTTCTGAAAAATTTGCTTTCACTTCTGCTTTGAACATGTATTCAGTCAGATACCTCACCAGATCCGAAGATTGTGGTTCGAGAATTGATTGAATCATGATTCAGTAGTTTAACCCCGGATAACATTACAGTTTCCTCTTTGAGCTAACAAAAATTTTCATTTCTGCTGAAAAACAAGTACTGCTATTGATCTCCAGTAATATCTCAACATTTTCATTTGAAGTAATCCATTTCAAACTCACATGAATGACTGAGATGGTACGATACCAGATCGGTTAACACATTACTTGAGACGGAAAAGTTGAAATATTATTTGAGAAGCATAATACTTCAAGCACGACGGAGTGCTCGTTTCACATGCTTAACCTAAGCCTGTCTATATTGACATCTCTCAGATAAAGTATCATGCAACTTCAATATTGCTAATAACTTTTCACACCATAGTTGAAACTGCAAACACAAGTCCTCCAGATGAATGGACAACATGAAACAAAAATTAAGAGCCCAAATAGAGAGAAAAAGAGAGAACGAAAGTGCAAACATCAGGAAGAAAGTGGAATAGGGTAAAAACATCTGCTATACAAAAAGGCTTACTCAAAAATATACATGTAAAATCCCCCACACAGTCTGATTACCAAAAAGCCCCTATTCCAAACCAACTCAGCTCGACCCTCTACTAACTCTTCAGCACAATAATGCACTGAAAACAAAAAATGAAAAAATGGGAACAAGGACTTCCAACACACAACCGCTACAACCTGCATCATAGAAAGACATGAAAAGTTTAGATATCGCTAAATCAGGGAACAAGACGAATTCAAATATCTACAACTAACACTCAGCTCAGCAGCCACAGCTACCGAGATGGTAAATCTAACTTGCCAGACAATTTGGCCTTGAGAAATCTATAATAATATTTGTGAGTATATAGTATTTTACTTCTAACCAACAAGGAGCACAATGACCATCAGTTCTTTTTTCGGGGGGAGCATGAGGAATACAATCTTTCTAAATGTGCATCATAGAAAGAATGGTATGACTATAAAACAAATAAAAAAAACTTGGCAGCCAAAGATCAATAAACCAATAACCACAATGTCAACAATATCATCCTGCATGAAACTAATTGTGCTAATTTAAAATCCTCTGTTAATGTGTTGCATGAAACACAAAATCACCTTAAAAGTAAAATGTCAAAATTATTTACTGTCCTTCAGGATAATACAATTATTGGGCATATTCTCATTGATTGCTAAAATACCATTTTGTTATAAGTACTTTGTTGAACACGCCAGCTTTCACTTGTCCTAATTTCTGCAATTATCATTTATACTTTCTCGAAAACTTAATAATTAATTTAAGATGCGGTATAAAACAAACATAGAAAGGCTAGGAATTGCATAGTACGAACCATGATTCTTAAAAGTTTCCGATGTTGGGAGGGCAGGCAATGACATCTCTGCCAAATTAGAAATAGACATTAGGTCTTCAATGTAAAAACAACTTGCGAGAGCACTTCCTATGAAATCTCATCTTTAAGTTAACAGTAAAACTAAAAATAAAAATCATTGTTTGCCAATCAGTTACCAGGAGCACACAGAGACAAGGATGACATTGAGGATGATAAAGGCCACGGAGCTGCAATGTTGTCGGTTAGGTCACATGTGAAGCTGTAGCCTGTTGAATTGTCAAATGCCACATCTGCAGGCAAGCTTCGAAGCAGACATCCTATATAAAATAAGAAATTTATTAACTTACAAAAGCAAAACTAAATTTCATTAGATTGATCAAAAAAGAATAACAATGTAGGTCTAGGGCTGTTAACCGAACCGAGCCGCTCGCGAGCAGCTCGGTTCGGTTAACAGCCCTATCCGTAATAGGCATTGGTAAACTTATTTTGATCTATTTTTATTCGAGCTTGAGCTCTTCCTTCTCATGCCGAGCTGAGCTCGAGCTCCCCAAAGCTCAACTCGACTCGATAACACCCCTAGAGCGGGTCACCCAAATTCTATTAACATAAGAATCTAAAATACAAAAGAATGCTTATTTAACATAAAATCAAGATCTATTAATTAACATATGCTATTTTATTTCCTATGCAATTACGGAAAGTGACAAATCATTAGACACGTGCCTTAAGTGTGAGAAAACAATACCCACCCTCACCCTTTAGAGCACACTTTTAAACTTAAGCAATTAGAAACAAAACACGTGCCTTATATATATCCCTCCATCTGTATATATACACAGCAGATGTGCTTTGTCTGATTGCTTAAGTCTCTATAATGGAATTATTGTCATTCCATGATTAAAACTAATTCTTTTGTAGCATTAAGACCCTAAACCCTCCCTTTCCTCCTCTCCGCACAAGACACAAATGAAAAATCAGAGTCTTGCTTATCTCAGTCTCTGTGTTCAAATTTATGTTCTTAAAGGAATGCTAGAAAGAAGGAAAATCGAATCCAACTGCCAAAAATCGGTGAGTAAACAAGAGAAGCCCCTATTAGTTTGATATAAACAATTAACGGTTCTTATTACAGGGAAAAATGCATCCCCTTTTGGGATTTTGAAAACTAGTAATAGGTGTGGAATTGTCAAAACTCCACTTTAAATACTCAAATAGCATTCAGCTTAAAGTTTGTTAATGAAAATCTACAAAAGTGTTTTCAGGCATCCAGCAAAAAGGATTGATAACTTTCCCAGGACATACATGAGGTGTCCAATATTTCCATTATTTTTTTTCTTTTTGGTCCTTAAGAAACAACTGAGGTTAATTAATCTTTTTACCATAAGCAAAAATTTCTTCCTCCAACACCACACCACTTGTCTTTTTAAACATATGAATAAATTAATGAATGCTAACTAATTTTACAGAAGAATGCATACCACCAACTGAATAGTAACATACAAAATTAAATCACAGAATTTGGACGGGGAGAAGGAAAGGAGAAATTGAAGCAAACCTTGTTGTCCATATGCTGTTTAAGAATCCACATTGCAAATTGACCAAAAAAAAAAAAAAAAATAAAAAGAAAAAAAAGAAAAAAAAAAAAAAAAAAAAAAAAAAAAACAATCAGATGAATTAATAGTAAAAAAAGGGAATGATTACAAGATCATCATCACAGAAATATATGTACCTTGAATGCTAAAGTCTTTCAAGTCGACATCACAGAGCTCATAGACATTTGTCATAACCCCTCCTTTCCGTAACATAGACCCAAAAAATGCAGCACAGATTATGGCATGTTTATTTGTGATTAGCATTTGCCTCTGTATTCCTGCAATATAGGTATTCAGCGAGCTACAGCACGTAGGACTAGGAGCCGCTACATTACGACATGCTTTAATTACTTCCGAAGGCTGCTTAAACTCCAATGGGCAAACTGCAGCAAAATAGTTTCGTGACCATAAGCAAAATAACAGAAACAAGTTATAAATTATTTGCACAAAACACCAGAAAGCAATATTGCATTTGACTGACTCATATACATTCTTTATTTAATAATCTGGAGCTTTGGTTCCAAGCCAGCTAGTTCTTGGATAATATTAGAAACTAAATTGAAGTTTGAATCCACAAACTTGATGCTTATTAAACTTACATGCCTAGCTTCATTATTCGAACTTAATAGATGGAATCACCTGAAGGCAAAATGACTATCTTAATGCTTCTTATAAATGTAAAAACAGAAAGAAAACCTCTTAGGATATTGCACACCATACTTAATTTTCACCCCATCTTTCTCTAATACCTAGTTTTTTTAGCACTAAAATGGAAATTGTTTACAGCTAATACCTCATTTTGCTTTGTGTCTATTTCTATTTTATTTACATCTAATACACTAGTTGTAACATGAATTTCTTTCTCAATCTTTCCATATTTTAAGATCTTCATGTTTCATCAATTGAAGTATAGAGATAAAAGTACTATCGGTAGGATCAATAAATGTCATCTCCAAGTTTATTCCTACATGGTTTCTTCAAACTGCATTAGATAAAGATATGATCACATAGAGCGTGGTTTTTCCTATATTACACATAAGACAGCCATATCATTTAACAGATGTTCATCTTCATTTTTCCACATCAACAAAGTATGGCAATGAGATATGGTAAGATGTAAAATATATTTCTTAATTTGCAAACTTCATACCCATCGCACATAAGAAGGGTCTTAGAGACGGTTTCTTGTGGCCAGTGCATATTTAATAACTCATAACCACGGAACCAACAATTTACATTCAATCAACAATCAACCAATACTTACCAAATAACAATGTGAATGAAACTAAAATGTGATATCTAGCAATCTGTTAGAGCATAAAACATTAAAGATGCTTAAAATAGAGCCAGAAACTATACATATAAGTCTATGGAAACAAAGGCAAAGAATTTTTTGGAACTTCTTAAAGCCTTTTAATTATTTTTGACAGGAGAAAATTTGTTTCACAGAAAAAAACAAATACCCATAAAAAAAACTAAACCAACCATGAGCAGATAAATGAAGATGCCATGATATGATAGAGGAGAAATACAAATGCTAAATATATGTCTGAAGATGTAAAGCAAGTATATATGCCCTAAAGTTCTAATTATCATGATTACAGACGCCATACAATTATCCAAAATATAGAGCAACTTAATTAGAAAGAATAAAGTAGAAGCACAAGGAATTTCAAAAAATTTCTATAAGTACTACATTTGGCAACAAACATGTAAGATAATTAAACACTGTACCCTTGTTAACTTTGCAGGCCGATAATATTCGGAATGCAGTGTTGGTGACATCTGCTGACAATTTACTAGAAAGATACGAGTATACAACCCCTTTACAGTCATTTAGCGCATTAACATGATTTGAGCCTCCAACTAGATTTTTATTGTCATTAATTGCTAATGATGATCCTGAAATCTGCAGAGCAGCCTCCATAATGGCAGGTTGACAAACTGGTCTGCAACACTCTTTAAGAGGATCAACAGTGCTGCAGGCCTCCAGTAATTTGCTTGTGTTTACTGTCTTCTCAAAACTAATAACATCCTTAACTGGACAAGAACCACCAGTGAGATTCAATGATGTCACAGAACAGAGTGTATGAATTGTGCTGTTGGCCCCCTTGCTAGCTAATATACTAATGATATCTGAAAAACAATCATTAGCAACCGCATTTTGCAAGACCAAATTTTCAGATTTCATGCTGTAGAAACCCTGGAATATGTGAAGTAAACTACCAAGCTGCGGACAACATATTACATTTCCTACAAGTGCAGCTAAAGGTTGAGAACAATCAGTTGCTGTTTTGTCCATGATAATTGACATGGCAGAGAAATTTACAGGGCATCGCCCAGTTAAATTTGGTTCGTATGTAGTAGGAAAAGTCGGGTACATTGGTGGCAAAGTTTCACCAGTATATGGATAATGTGGAAATACAGCTGGTGATATTTCTATAGGTTCAAACAGTCCAGTGCTAGGAGGATTAGCCAACTCAGACGTGGAAGAAACATGACTAGGCTCAAGCACAGTCTGCAATGCCACTACATCTTGGAAACTAAACAACCAGGTGATGAATAATAAGAACACCTGACACAGGGATCCTACAATCAAACACAAGCCAAAAATCAGCATCTAGATATATAATCAGTCATACAATAGGAAATAATGCATGGACTACAGTAAACAAATTACAGCTCAGAAAAATAAAAGGAGCCAAAATATGCAAAACTTTGCTTGTTATGGATTCAGTAACAAACTATAAAACACAATCTTCAATACTTTTAAATCAGAGAAAAGATTAGAGAATAACATAATGAATTATAATTAAATCTCTAAATCATGAAAGTTATGAAGAAAACACATAAACACACCAGAGATCAAGTACCTTCATATAATCAAATAAAATGATAGCCTTATAATAGAGCAATCTAATGCTAGAGAAGAGGCAAAAACTTGAAAGATGACTTTTTGCCCTATTCAATTGATGTCTAGTCAAAACAGGCCACATCAAACACTAATAAATTCCGATAACTCACCTTTAAGATGAGTAACAGTCTGAAAACAGTCCATAGCTCCCCTAGCCGTTCGGCACCATTGAGCTTTACAGAAGAAAACACTATGGTAGTTAATTGTCAGCACAAGAGATGTTCACAGCGATACCTGAACCATCTTCAAGCATTAGGACAAAAGCCATGAGGAAACAAAGAATTACAAGGCAGACTAAAAATCATACTTCAAGTAAACAAAAGAATTTCTAATATCAATTCAAAAAAAAATCAAAACTACTGCTACAACCCAGTTTTGTCAAACCATATATACTATTATGTCTTGAGCTTTGCAGACAACTGAGCCCAAATCTAATCAACTTCATCAGTTGGAAGATATTTCCATTTACTCCTCTTTTATTTAATTTTCCCAACTAAATTACATGACTACATTCATCAGTTGGAAGATATCCACCTAAGAAAACCCGAACAATGACACTAAGCTCAATTAAATCAAGGTTCCCCAAAACCATATTATGAATATGAAAATCATCATACACGAAATTCCAATTTTCTCTTGTTTTTCCACATTTTTCCAGCTACCAAACATATAACCATACATTCGCACAGGAATGAGAGAAAAAACCAAGTCATCTATGTCAACAACAATCATTTCAATTTTGATCACCTCTGCCATATTTTTCTCAGCTATTAAACAAGTCAGCTCAATGGATCAATGCTTCTCATCAAAAACAAAAAATCAAACATGAAGACTTACATTCCCTCTTCATTTCCGCATTTTCTCTGAAACCAAACAAGTAAAATCATTTCTTCAAAGAAATCAAAAACGAAACCCTCAACTCAACCAAGCCAAGTAACCAAACTGAGCTTAATAAACCAAAATTTCCAAACAATCACTTACTTAACACTAAAAGCTTCATTTTCACATGTTTTCTCAGCAACCAAACAAGTAAAAATCATCTCTAGGAAGAAATTAGGAAGAAAAAAAAAGCTCAACCAAGCTAACTAACCAAATTGCGCTTAATCAACCAAAAGTTCCCCAAAAATCACCTTTTTAACACTAAAACCTTCAATTTTCCTTCACTTTCCCAAGTTCCCTCAGCTCCTAGACAAAAATTTCAAAAAATAGAAAGTAAAGAAAACAAAAACCCAAAAAAACTCACCTGCATAGATGATACAAAACAAGCAACCTCAACCAACCAACCCTTCTCCTCAAAAAACCAAAAATCAAGCTCTAAAACTTACACTTTCCCATCATTTACCAGCATTTTCTCAGCAACCACCAAAGAAATCAACAACAAAACCACCCAACTCAGCCGAGCAAACTCCCCAAACTATACTCAATCAACCAACCTCCACCTCCAAATTTCAACTTTCCTTCATCTCCCACGGTTTCCCAGTTCCCAACCAAAAAACCCAGAAAAAAAAAAAAAAAAGCAAAGAAAAAAACTGTACCTGAACACGATGTTGCACTTGCGCCCATAAAACGAGCATATCCAAGCACAAAAACCTAAAAATTGAACCTTCCGTACTCAAGACGCAGTGAACAACGCCGTTTCGGTGCCGATCGGTAGGTGAATGATGAGAAACCCTAGAAATAGAAAGGGGAGCAGTGAGCTCAGTGAGTGAAGAGTGTTAATGTGAAGTTATAAAGGTGTGGATAAAGTGAAGGGAAAGAGACGAGAGAAGGGAAGGGCGCGTTAATAACTTTACCTTTCGGGACTTGACCCGGAATCTTCCGGATTTGGAGCCTGGGTCCTCTTTCTATTTGTGGGTGAGTGACCCGGTTGCTTTTGAGGTCCCACTAAGGGCATAATAGGGGTTTACTATGACAAGGACAAAAGTGTCGTGTCACTTCATTTACACTTTTTATTTGTTTTCTAATTTAATATTTTCTCTTGTTTACGTTCATTGCTTCTACGGCGTAAATATAATTAAAGAAAATAATATGGGTTGGTTTGGTTTATTATTTTGAATATAATATTAGGTAATTAAATACGAGTGTATTATAAGGTAAAGTTTTAAAATATATAAAAAACCCTTAGGTTTACTAATTTAATTAAATACCCTAATATATAAAATAATAAAAATACTTCCACTATTTGCAGTACCAGATTCCGGCCACCACCATTGGAATCTGGTCGAAAAATTGTGTTACGACCCAGTTTAGTCAGATTTGTATTGTAGCGAGTCGTTATGACATTTTTCGACCATATCTACGGCCTGCTGTGGCCACGACGATTGGAAAAGGTCAAAACAACGATCATTTCTTTGGGCGTCGCTGACGGGCAGATCAGTGAATTATCGACCAATTCTGATAGGTAATTCACCGTTGTGGCAAATTCCGACTACCACCAATGGTGGTTGCTGAAATCTGACATGTATGGGTCACGGGAGTGTTTTTGTTAATTTTTAAAGGGATATTTAATGAAATTAATAACCTTATGGGGTCTAAAAATAATTAAAAAATAAGATAATATTTCTGGAATAATGTGTCAAATATTATTTGGATAATAAGATTGGGAATATGAGCAAAAATAATTAGCCAAACATGCCCATATTTATCGATTACACATACCGAACTCTTTATCCCGATTGATATAAGGTGTAATGTAGAGGGTCTTTATCCCGATCATGTTAGACTTACATTAATTAGTATGTAGAATCAAAGTCTAGTCTGACCTTATAATTAAAGGTCAAGTCATTTTCAGTTTTTGGTTTGAAACATATCTATTTAATTTAGGATGGATCCATATAGTTGCATATTACCTTGATGGACCAAAAGAGAATATACTAATAGAAGAATTTCTCTAAATTTGGAGCTGGTTATTATCAATAGTATGTTTAGTACAAGTTATATTTGTTTCATATTGTTTAAGTTAGTGAGCGTCGTAATGTATATATATATATGGTTAGATTATCTTCTCCGTATATATATGTGGTTGGATTATCTTCTCCCTTAAACCAGCTTTTGGGAGAAAATTTACCGATTAAGACAAGCACGACACACATACACTTTTTTTCCCCTTTGATCAAACTCAAACATTCCTGCAGAATTACGCTATTACCCTTCTTCGATCAAACTCAAAACATTCCTAGTAAACATGAGCGATGATGGCAGGGTGAGGAGAGTTGAGTGATATTTTTTTGCGGTGAAAAGTAATAAAAATTGTGGAAACCCCAATAGTTTATTGTATTACACTCTAGTACCAGTAGCTACACTGTTGGTGTAAATTCTCTCGTTATTTTCCGGCCGCTTGTTTCCGTCAATTCAGCTGTGGTTCTAGCTTTAACAATCGAAACTTTGATAGGTTTCTATTTTTCTTTTTATGTATAAATGATAAGTTGTTAATGAAGTTTGGCGAGTGCATACGTTAAAGATTGAGTTATGATTATTGAAAAGAGCAGAGACGAAGAATCTTCTTTTGTTTCTTTTTTTTTTTTTTTTTTTTGAATTTTTTTATCACATTGGATAATTTTGATAACAAACTCAGGGTTTCTAATGGATTTTTCATGTTGACATATGCATTGGTTTAACAAAAGCTGGTACTTGCTCTACTTCTTCATTCATAGCTCAAACAGCCGAAAGCTTTTCATTTTTCATTATTTTTTTTTCTGTTTTCTATAGTTTAGGAATTAAAAATGGCTTTAGAACTTGGTATGCTCATCTTAAACAGAGGACTTTCAGGGTTTTTAGTATTGTTTCTTTCATATTTTTATATTTTCTCTGTATTTTGTGTTCGCATTTTTTCCTTAAACAGAAAGTAGATTTTTGATAAATTTTAAGAGAGGTCTGTCTTAGGCGAGGTTATGATTTTCTAAATTTTAGTTAAGTTCATCTGTATCTTTCAAATTATTAGTCAAACCTTAGGGAAGTCAATTAAATTTATGATGGTTTCTGGGTTTGTTTTTTATAGTTAATGAAATGCGGTTATTCTTGTTTCAGGATTGTGCACTTGTACTGTGGCTTCGGAGAAACAGAGTTTGATTTTGCTTCAAGGAAAAGTACTGCTATATGCATAATCTTACCCGTGTCATATCTCGCCTGTTATCTACTTCCCTTGTACTGTCACAACCACCAAAAGAATTTTGGAGAGAACTTTGCCCTCATTGGGAAATGATGCGAAAATTGTTCAAAGAGTGGATTTGAGGCCAATCAGGGTATGGTGACTCGAGCATTTTCAGTGAAATCAAGTGGTGGTGATGGTGATGGGAGTGAAGGTAAAAATGAATGGGAGAAGGCTGTGGGTGAGCATTTGGTGGGACCAGAAATGAGTTTAATGTGGTCAACTGGATTGACCAAGGAGCATTTTGATGGAGTGGCTGTTGGATGTCAAACTAGTTCCGGTAGTAGTGGACAGGATACATATTATGAATCTCAGTGGTATCTAATATGCAAGATATTGAAGATAGATAAAGGAATTAGAGGAAAAGAACAGAAAGAGCAAGGCTTATGTTGCGGGATGGGATGAGAGATTTCGTGAGACGTGCTGCTGAAGCAAGTACAGAGCCTGGTGCAAGAGTGTCTTATCTCAAGGACTCAAAGAAGGCAGAGATGTACCGCTTGCACAGGACAATCCTGGATTTATAATGTGGAGAGGCTTGCCAAGGATTATAGGATTATGAGGCAGAGGGTGCATGCAATTCTGTGGCTGAAGGACTTGAGGAAGAAGAGGAGAAAAAGCTTGGCCATCCATTGGATATCTGTTTGAGATTCTGCTTGACACCTGCCCAGAGTGAGATTTCGTATCTAATCATTGTTTATTTTTTGATATTTAATGTCTTATATCATTCTGATTTGGCCTTTTGGCTTGATGTTGTGTGTGATTATCAGTACTTATGTTATGTTTTTTGAGGTGTAGTTGTTTATAAAGCAGATATTTGATGTTTAAAAGAATTCTTTCATCTACTATTGAATCACATCATTTAAATGTTTTGACATTGGACAAATTTTACTTAACTGTCATATATCTTGTAATGCTTCTAAGCAAAAGCTACCCTTAGAATTATCTCAATCATAAATGCAGTTTCTTTATACTTTTGATTACCCGTATGGATGTGTCTAAAAGGAAACTGAAACTTGTACAGCATGTATGTGATAGTTGTTAGATATATGAATTTAAAGGGCATTCACTTATTTCGTAAAACAGAATGTGGTGATAATCCATTGAGGGTATTAAGAAATGTGCTACAAACTGTTATTCATAACCTTAGCTGTGGTGGTGTTTGCGGCGAGGTTAACTTTTGTGTGATGCGTTGGTTACTTCTGTTGATAGAAATATACTGCTGTAATCATGGGTGATGATGGAGATCGAAAACAATATTTTGTAAGCTGCTAATGGTAGTAATCTTTGTGGCATGATGACAATGAGCAAAACAACTTTTGGTTAGCTGTGGTTGGGTTTAGTGCTAAAGGTTACTTTTGGTCCTTTTAACTTGGAGCTAGTGTGGCTTTGTGTGTTGCTAGTCATGTTGATGATATTGGTTTCATGCTTATCGTATTGTTGACATAAATAGATGTTCAGTCCCATGGGAATAGGAATGTCATAGTAATTATACACAAAAAATGGTCCCCAAAAAAATGTTGTGTCAAAGATGCAATTACAAATGCACATGTCTTGGGTTGATATATCATAAACCAGACCTAGAAACATTGAATTAGCAAAATATTGGCTGATTTGCCTCTGAAATAATAACTTTCTATTTCCTTTGCAATTTTTTATTTTTTACTGCAGATTCTTCATTTCTCATACCGGGAATTCCATGTGGCATCGCTTCCATACAAACCTGACTTTAAGGTTGGGATGGTACTATCAAAGACCTAGATGAAGTTCATTATGAGATCTCCCAGAAAGAGGATGAAATGCTATATCAGACTTTGTCCAGAGAATGACTTCAACAAAATGAAGTAAGTCCAAGTCCTCTTAGCCTTAGCCTTGTGACAAGAAAGATCTTGGCTTTGTATTTCCTTGGCTTTTCATTTCAGTTTTTGAAAAACTTTGTTGTTCTGTTTCCTTCTAAAAGTGGGGAAAAGAGTACTAATGTTGTTGAATATTGATTTTTTAGTCTCTTTCTCTCTACATAACACAAATGCACTTGCATGCACAGTTCTGAAGAATTTATTTTCATATTGATTAACTAATGACAGATTTAATTGCAATATCTTTTGAGTTGGATTGCTGAGGGGAGTGGATTGCTGTGAGCTGTTAGTACAATGGGGACCCTGCTTCATCTACTTTTGCTGGTGGAGGCAGATCTGTCTACCAATGATTTCCTAAAATTTTGAGTGTCCTGACCCTTTTAATAGATAACTCCATAGTTTTTTCCTTTCTTTGATTTGCTTGTAGACATTTACCAATGTTCTGCCCTATTATTCTTCAAGTCATTGTCTATAAAAGAAACAAAATATCGACTCTATGCACATTTGGTCTTTGTTAACCCTAATATTTGTAGTTTTGTCTCTTTACAGAGACAGGGAAGGTGAATATGCCACAAATATAGCAGCATCGTTCTTTAGAAGTTGGCAATTCACAGTGGAGAAAATGGGACCACGAGCAAGCGTGGGGGGTGGGGCTGGAAGTTTGTTAGCATGCCATGGGTCTACCCGACCACTGAATGAAATGGAAAAAATGTACGTGAAGCGAGAGAGACCTCGCCGTCGACGCAGAATTTTCCCATGATGTGCTTTGGTAGATACAAAATCCCTGCTTCTGTTGTACTTGTCTGCATCTGAGAAGTAAGATGAAGTTATAATTTTCCTGAAAAAAAAAAAAAAAAATCAGTACATTTACCTTTCTGCTTTTGCAATGTAAGATCATGAGCTGATCATATTTGGTCACATAGCCTTTTCTCCTAATCTTGCTCTTTTCTTGTTTCTTTCCGTCTTTCATTGTGGCTTCACTGGACCAAGTTTCCTGAAGTTCAATTTTGTATAAAATCAATTAGGAGCTCTCAGATTATAAAGGATTTGAGAATCTAGTGACAGAGATAAATTTAGTTAGCGAATCTGTCTAATTAGTAGATGTATATTATTTAGTGTCTTTTCTGAGTATTTCATCTTGTAAACCTAGTTTTGATATAAATTTTTTGATGTGATCTTCTAATCAGAGCAAACTCTCTTGGATCTAAATGTTAATGTTAAGTGTTGCTATGGCAATTTTTGCAGAACAACTCACTAATGGTCTACTAACGACAATGAGATTTTATTATTTCTGAAACCCTAGAGAGATTTTTGTAATTACATCAACACTTCAGGGGGTTGTTCTTTAAACTCATTTGTATATTTTAAGATTGGCATGTTGGTGAAAGAAAACCTCGAATTTCAATCTTAAAAGTTAGGCAGTAACAGACATATACAAGTGGCAGCAGTGTAAGCTAATTTACGGTCCTCTCTTAAAATCATGGCCATGATCGCTAAGAATCCATAGGCTGTGGCAGTCTATTCCAACCTGTGATGATTCTTGCAGCTCGACCGGCTCTTCGGCCACACACCAAGATGCCACATAAGCAGCAAAGACACCCATTGCATTGCAATTGTAGCACACTGCTTGAGGATTTCATTGTTAGGCGATAAAGAGTTGCCGCAAGCATCACTGGTGGCCCAGAGGTTAATTAGTTCTTTGGTATATTTTCAAGGGTCTTGAGTTCGATCTACCTGAGTTGCTAATAAGGTGACCATTAAAGGATTTACCTAGTTGTCAACTTTAAGACCTCGAAAGATTAGTTAAGTATACGCAAATTGGTCTAGACACCCCGTTCAATTAAAAAAAAAAAAAAAAATCTGCTGCTCTGGACCCATTTGTCAAAAAAGTCAGAGCTACTTGGGCACTACAATGAGTGTGGTTTCTGTCATTCGACCTAGATTGAACAAGGGTTCTGCTTCTTGATCACTTCGAAGGTGTAAGAAGGCCTTTATTTTCTCAAGAAAAGTTGCTTTATGCCCTGGTTCGGCCTCTATACTATCAGATTAGCTAAGTCTCTAAATTCAAGCTAAAAGGAGACTCTTCTGCTCTCAGGTCCATTGTGTGAACACTTGCTTGATCAGAAGTTGCATTGTTCCGAGACGACGAATCGCCATGAAACTCCATAGGCGTGATGAAGCATGGTCTTCACGAAATTAATATTAGGATGTCCTAATTAGAAATGAATATATAGATTATCAATATTGTGTTGATTATCTCTAGTTATATGTCTTCTCCTTAGGTAAATAGATAGCAAAGGTTGTGTCCTCGACTCTTCGTTATCATGAGTAACACTTATGCTATTACCCTTCTTATATCAACTCAAACATTCCTAGTAAACATGGTTTGACGGGAGGTCAAGTTAGGATTGCAATCGATCGAGTCGAATATTGAGAAGTTTGAGCTTGGCTCATCTGAATATTTGAAGCTGGCTCGATAGATATATATTGGTTTGAGCTTGATTTGGTCGTAATTGAGTCACATTTTAATTATTTAATTATATATAATTATTTTTAATTTTTAATTAATATATGTATAATATTATATAAAATTAAAATATTATATATATGTTGAGCTCGAGTAACTCATGAGATGCTTGAATCGAGTATTATTAGCTCAAACTCGGCTTGACTCAACACACGAGCTACTCGAGTTGATTCCGAGCAGTTCGCGAGCGGCTCGACTAGTTTGCAGGCTGTCAAGGGAAGTGAGTGATATTTTTCAAAAATCTTAGGGGTGAAAATGATAGTATTTTTCTAGAAACCCCATTAGTTTATTATATCACGGCACGAACGCTTAAAACCAGTGTCACTCATCTCTTCTTATATCACATGTTCAACCGCCGCCAACTCTGTCCAAAATCGAACTCCGCCTAGACGAGCCGTTTTGCGCCGGTCGCCTCCTCCAGTTCTGGCAGCGTGTTTCCGTCAATTCAACTGCGGTTCTACTTCAACAATTGAAACTTTGATAGTTTCCTTTTTTTTTTTTTTATAATGATGTTGTTAATGATTTTGCGAATGCATATTTTAAATATTGAGTTATGATTATTGAAAAGAGCAAAGACGAGTCTCTTTCTTTAATTTTAATTTTTTTTTTTTTTTTAATCACATTGGATCAAATTTATGAGAACAAACTTAGGGTTTCTACTGGTTTTTTTCATATTGGCAAATGACTGTTGTCTTTCAGAAGCTAGTCCTGCTCTTATTCATCATTCAGAGCTCAACCGAACGAAAGCTTTTTCATTTTTCATTTTTCATTTTTTTCTGTTTTCTATATTTTAGGAATTAAAAATGGCTTTAGAACTTGGTATGTTCATCTTAAACAGAAGACTTTCAGGGCTTTAGTATTGTTCCTTTCATGTAGTTTTATATTTTTCTCTGTATTTTGTGTTCGCATTTATTTCCTTATAAAAGAAGAGGTAGATTTTGATAAATTTTTAGAAGGCCTGTCTGAGGCGAGGTTAATGATTTCTAAATTTAGTTGAAGTTCATCTGTATCTTTCAAATATTAAGTCAAACCTTAGGGAGTCAATTAAATTATATGATGGTTTCTGGGTTGTGTTCATAGTTACTGAAATGCGGTTAATCTTGTTTCAGGACTGTGTACTTATAGTGCTTTGGAGAAACGAGTTTGATTTTGCTTCAAGGAAAAGTACTGAATATGCTAATCTTACTACGCGTGTCATATCTCGCCTGTCATCTACTTCCCTTAGTACTGTCACAAACACCAAAAGAATTTTGGAGAGAACTTTGCCCTCATTGGGAAATGATGCGAAAATTGCTTCAAAGAGTGGTTTGAGGCCAATCAGGGTATTGTGACTCGAGCATTTTCAGTGAAATCAAGTGGTGGTGATGGTGATGGGAGTGAAGGTAAAAATGAATGGGAGAAGGCTGTGGGTGGATCATTTGGTGGGACCAATTCTGATAATCTGGGTTGGGAAACGAGTTCATTGTGGTCAACTGGATTGACCAAGGAGCATTTTGATGGAGTGGCTGTTGGACGTCAAAGTAGTTCCGGTAGTAGTGGAAAGGATACATATTATGAATCTACAGTGGTATCTAATATGCAAGATATTGAAGATAAGATAAAGGAATTAGAGGAAAAGAACAGAAAGAGCAAGGCTTATGTTGCGGGATGGGATGAGAGATTTCGTGAGACATGTATGCTGCTGAAGCAGGTACGAGAGCCTGGTGCAAGAGGGTCTTATCTCAAGGACTCAGAGAAGGCAGAGATGTACCGCTTGCACAAGGAGAATCCTGAGGTTTATACTGTAGAGAGGCTTGCCAAGGATTATAGGATTATGAGGCAGAGGGTGCATGCAATTCTGTGGCTTAAGGAGGATGAGGAGGAAATGGAGAAAAAGCTTGGCCATCCATTGGATAATTCTATTGAGGTTCTGCTTGACACCTGCCCAGAGTGAGATTTCGCATCTAATCATTGTTTATTTTTGATATTTAATGTCTTATGTCATTCTGATTTGGCCTTTTGGCTTGATGTTTGTGTGTGATTATCAGTACTTATGTTATGTTTTATGATGTGTAGTTGTTTATAGAAAGCAGATATTTGATGTTATAAATAGAATTCTTTCTCGTCTACTATTGAATCACATCATTTAAATGTTTTTACATTGGACAAATTTTACTTAACTGTATCATATCTTGTAATGCTTCTAAGCAAAAGCTACCCTTAGAAGTATCTCAATCATAAATGCAGTTTTCTTATACTTTTGATAACCCGATATGGATATGTCTAAAAGGAAACTGAAACTTGTACATGCATGTATGTGATAGTGTTAGTATATATGCAATTTAAAAGTGCATTCACATTATTTCATAAAACAGAAAGTAGTGATAATCCATTGAGGGTATTAAGAAAATGTGCTACAAACTGTTATTCATAACCTTAGCTGTGGTGGTGTTTTGCGGGCAGATGTTCACTGTTGTGTGATGTGGTTGGTTACTTCAGTTGATAGAAGCATACTGCTAGTAATCATGGGTGATGATGGAGAATGATCGAAAACAATATTTTGTAAGCTGCTAATGGTAGTAATCTTTGTGGCAATGATAGACAATGAGCAAAACAACATTTGGTTAGCTGTGGCAGGGTTAGTGCTTAAAGGTTACTTTTGGTCCTTTTAACTTGGAGCTAGTGTAGCTTTGTGCGTTGCTGGTCATGTTGATGATATTGGCTTTTGTACTTATTGAATTGTTGATATGAAATAGATATTTAGTATCATGGCGGAACGAGAATATGTCAATATTAATTATAACACAAAAATGCTTTCATGCTGTAGTTTGTTATGTACATCTTTTTTGTGTACATGTGGTCTTATTCATGTACTTAGATAAGCTCTAACATAAATGAATAAAGTTGTCCCCAAAGATGCAGTTACGAATGCAACATTTTCTTGGGTTGATATGTTGTAAATCAGAACTAGAAATGTTGAATTAGCAAAAGATTGTCTGACTTGCCTCTGAAATAATAACCTTCTATTTCCTTTGCATTTTTTTTTTTTTTTTACTGCAGATTCTTTATTTCTCACGACCGGGAATTCCATGTGGCATCCCTTCCATACAAACCTGAGTTTAAGGTTATGCCGGAGGGTTGGGATGGTACTATCAAAGACCTAGATGAAGTTCATTATGAGATCTCCCAGAAAGAGGATGAAATGCTATATCGAGACTTTGTCGAGAGAATGACCTTCAACAAAATGAAAGTAAGTCACTGTCCTCTTAGCCTTAGCCTTGCGACAAGGAAAAGATAAATTGGCTTGGTATATAACCTTGGCTTTTCATTTCAGTTATTGAGGAAAACTATTGTTGGTCTGTTTCCCATCCAAAAGGGGGAAAAAGAGTACTAATGTTGTTAGAATATTGTTATTTTTCAGTCTCTTTCTCTCTACATAACAAAATGCGCATGCATGCACAGTTCTAAGAGAATTTATTTTCATGTTGATTAACTGATGACACATTTTAATTTGGCTATATCTTTTGAATTGGATTGCTGAGGTGAGGCTGTTAGTACAATAAAGACTCCTGCTTCATCTACTGTTTGCTGGTGGAGGCAGATCTGTCTGCTGCAAATTATGATTTCCTAAAATTTTGAGTGTCCTGACTCATTTTAAACGGATAACTTGATAGATTTTCTTTGATTGCTTTAGACCATTATTCCATGTTCTGCCCTTATTCTTCAAGTCATTGTCTATAAAAAGAAACAAATATCGACTCTATGCACATTTGGTCTTTGTTATACCCTAATATGTATTTTTTTGTCTCTTTACAGATGACAGGGAAGATATGCCACAAATATAGCAGGCTCGTTCTTTAGAAGGTTGGCAATTCACAGTGGAGAAAATGGGACCACGAGGCAAGCGTGGAGGGGGGGGGCTGGAAGTTTGTTAGCATGCCAGATGGGTCTACCCGACCACTGAATGAAATGGAAAAAAGTACGTGAAGCGAAGAGACCTCGCCGTCGACGCAGAATTTTCCCATGATGTGCTTGTAGATACGAAAATCCCTGCTTCTGTTGTACTTGTCTGCATCTGAGAAGTAAGATGAAGTTATAATTTCCTTAAAAAAAAAAAAAAAAAATCAGTACATTTACCTTTCTGCTTTTGCAATGTAAGATCATGAGCTGATCATATTTGGTCACATAAGCCTTTTCTCCTAATCTTGCTCTTTTCTTGTTTCTTTCCGTCTTTCATTGTGGCTTCACTGGACCAAGTTTCCTGAAGTTCAATTTTGTATAAAAGTCAATTAGGAGCTCTCAGATTATAAAGGATTTGAGAATCTAGTGACAGAGATAAATTTAGTTAGCGAATCTGTCTAATTAGTAGATGTATATTATTTAGTGTCTTTTCTGAGTATTTCATCTTGTAAACCTAGTTTTGATATAAATTTTTTGATGTGATCTTCTAAATCAGAGCAAACTCTCTTGGATCTAAATGTTAATGTTAAGTGTTGCTATGGCAATTTTTGCAGAACAACTCACTAATGGTCTACTAACGACAATGAGATTTTTATTATTTCTGAAACCCTAGAGAGATTTTTGTAAGTACATCAAACTTCAGGGTGGTTGTCTTTTAACTCATTTGTATATTTTAAGATTGGCATGGTTGGTGAAAGAAAACCTCGAAATTTCAATCTTAAAAAGTTAGGCAGGTAACAGACATATACAAGTGGCAGCAGTGAATGCTAATTTACGGTCCTCTCTTAAAATCATGGCCATGATCGCTAAGAATCCATAGGCTGTGGCAGTCTATTCACAACCTGTGATGATTCTTGCAGCTCGACCGGCTCTTCGGCCACACACCAAGATGCCACATAAGCAGCAAAGACACCCAATTGCATTGCAAATTGTAGCAAACTGCTTGAGGATTTCATTGTTAGGCGATAAAGAGTTGCTGTAAGCATCACTGGGTGGCCCAGAGGTTAATTAGGATTCTTTGGTATATTATTCAAGAGGTCTTGAGTTCGATCTACCTGAGTTGCTAATAAAGGTGACCATTAAAGAGATTTACCTAGTTGTCAACTTTAAGACCTCGAAAGATTAGTTGAAGTATACGCAAATTGGTCTAGACACCCCGTTCAATTAAAAAAAAAAAAAAAAAATCTGCTGCTCTGGACCCATTTGTCAAAAAAGTGAGAGCTACTTGGGTAGCTACAATGAGTGTGGTTTCTGTCATTCGACCTAGATTGAAAAAGGGTTTTGCTTCTTGAACACTTCGAAGGTGTAAGAAGGCCTTTATTTTCTCAAGAAAAGTTGCTTTATGCCCTGGTTCGGCCTCTATACTATCAGATTAGCTAAGTCTCTAAATTCAAGCTAAAAGGAGACTCTTCTGCACTCAGGTCCATTGTGTGAACAGCTTGCTTGATCAGAAGTTGCATTGTTCCGAGACGACGAATCGCCATGAAACTCCATAGGCAGGTGATGAAGCATGGTCTTCACGAAATTAATATTAGGATGTCCTAATTAGAAATGAATATATAGATTATCAATATTGTGTTGATTATCTCTAGTTATATGTCTTCTCCTTAGGTAAATAGATAGCAAAGGTTGTGTCCTCGACTCTTCGTTATCAATGAGTAGACACTTATGTATTACCTTCTTATATCAAACTCAAACATTCCTAGTAAACATGGTTTGACGGAGGTCAAGTTAGGATTGCAATCGAGTCGAGTCGAATATTGAGAAGTTTGAGCTTGGCTCATCTAGAATAGTTGAAGCTGAGCTCGATATAGATATTGATTGGTTTGAGCTTGATTTGGTCGTAATTGAGTCAACATATTAATTATTTTAATTTATATATAATTATTTTTAATTTTAATTAATATATGATAATATTAATATAAAATTAAAATATTATAATATGTTGAGCTCGAGTAAACTCATGAGCTGCTTGAATCGAGTATTATTGGCTCAAACTCGGCTTGACTCAACACACGAGCTACTCGAGTTGATTCGAGCAGTTCGCGAGCGGCTCGACTAGTTTGCAGGTGTCAAGGGGAAGTGAGTGATATTTTTCAAAAATCTTAGGGGTGAAAATGATAGTATTTTTCTAGAAACCCATTAGTTTATTATATCACGGCACGAACGCTTAAAACCAGTGTCACTCTATCTCTTCTTATATCACATGTTCAAGCCGCCGCCAACTCTGTCCAAAATCGAACTCCGCCTAGACGAGCCGGTTGCGGGTCGCCTCCTCCATTCTGGCAGCGTGTTTCCGTCAATTCAACTGCGTGCTTAGCTTCAACAATTGAAACTTTGATAGGTTTCCTTTTTTTTTTTTATAAATGATAAGTTGTTAATGAAGTTTGGCGAATGATATTTTAAATATTGAGTTATGATTATTGAAAAGAGCAAAGACGAAGAGTCTTCTTTCTTAATTTAAATTTTTTTTTTTTTTAATCACATTGGATCAAATTATGAGAACAAACTTAGGGTTTCTACTGGATTTTTTTTCATATTGGCAAATGACTGTTGTCTTTCAGAAGCTAGTCCTCTTATTCATCATTCGAGCTCAACGAACGAAAGCTTTTTCATTTTCATTTTTCATTTTTTTGTTTTCTATATTTTAGGAATTAAAAATGGCTTTGAACTTGGTATGTTCATCTTAAACAGAAGACTTTCAGGGCTTTTAGTATTGTTCCTTTCATGTAGTTTTTATTTTTCTCTGTATTTTGTGTTCGCATTTATTTTCCTTATAAAAGAGAGGTAGATTTTTGATAAATTTTAAGGAGGCCTGTCTGAGGCGAGGTTATGATTTTCTAATTTAGTTGAAGTTCATCTGTATCTTTCAAATATTAAGTCAAACCTTAGGGGAGTCATTAAATATGATGGTTTCTGGGTTTGTTTTCATAGTTACTGAAATGCGGTTTCTTGTTTCAGGACTGGTGTACTATAGTGCTTTGGAGAAACAGAGTTTGATTTTGCTTCAAGGAAAAGTACTGCTATATGCATATCTTCGCGTATCATCTTCGCCTGTCATCTACTTCCCTTGTACTGTCACAACACCAAAAGAATTTTGGAGGAACTTTGCCTCATTGGGAATGTGGAAATTGCTTCAAGGTGGATTTGAGGCCAATCAGGGTATTGTGACTCGAGCATTTTCAGTGAATCAAGTGGTGGTGTGGTGATGGGAGTGAGGTAGTAGGAGAGGCTGTGGGTGGATCATTGGGGGACCAATTCTGATAATCGGGTTGGGCGGTTTTGTGGTCACTGGAGCCAGGGCATTTTAGGAGTGGGAGTGGCTGTTGGCGTCACGTAAAGTTCCGTAGTAGATAGAAATGATCTCAGTGGTTCTAATATGCAAGATATTGAAGAAAGATAAGGAATAGAGGAGAGAACAGAAAGAGCAAGGCTTATGTTGCGGGATGGGATGAGAGATTTCGTGAGACATGTATGCTGCTGAAGCAGGTACGAGAGCCTGGTGCAAGAGGGTCTTATCTCAAGGACTCAGAGAAGGCAGAGATGTACCGCTTGCAAAGGAGAATCCTGAGGTTTATACGTAGAGAGGCTTGCCAAGGATATAGGATTATGAGGCGAGGGTGCATGCAATTCTGTGGGTTAAGGAGGATGAGGAGGAAATGGAGAAAAAGCTTGGCCATCCATTGGATAATTCTATTGAGTTCTGCTTGACACCTGCCCAGGTGAGATTTCGCATCTAATCTTGTTTATTTTTGATATTTAATGTCTTATGTCATTCTGATTTGGCCTTTTGGCTTGATGTTTGTGGTGATTATGTACTTATGTTATGTTTATGATGTGTAGTGTTTATAGAAAAGATATTTGATGTTATAAATAGAATTCTTTCTCGTCTACTATTAGATCACATCATTTAAATGTTTTTACATTGGACAAATTTTACTTAACTGTATTATCTTGTAATGTTCTAAGCAAAAGTACCCTTGAAGTATCTCAATCATAAATGCAGTTTTCTTATACTTTTGATAACCGATATGGATATGTCTAAAGGAAACGAAACTTGTCATGCATGTATGTGATAGTGTTAGTATATGCAATTTAAAAGTGCATTCACATTATTTCATAAAACAGAACGTGTGATAATCCATTGAGGGTATAAGAAAATGTGCTAAAACGTTTTCATAACCTTAGCTGTGTGGTGTTTTGCGGGCAGATGTTCACTGTTGTGTGATGTGGTTGGTTACTTCAGTTGATAGAAGCATACTGCTAGTAATCATGGGTGATGATGGAGAATGATCGAAAACAATATTTTGTAAGCTGCTAATGGTAGTAATCTTGTGGCAATGATAGAAATGAGCAAAACAACATTTGGTTAGCTGTGGCAGGGTTAGTGCTTAAAGGTTATTTTGGTCCTTTTAACTGGAGCTAGTGTAGCTTTGTGCGTTGCTGGTCATGTTGATGATATTGGCTTTTGTACTTATTGAATGTTGATATGAAATAGATATTTAGTATCATGGCGGACGAGAATATGTCATATTATTATACACAAAAATGCTTTCATGCTGTAGTTTGTTATGTACATCTTTTTGTGTACATGTGGTCTTATTCATGTACTTAGATAAGCTCTAACATAAATGAATAAAGTTGTCCCCAAAGATGCAGTTACGAATGACACATTTTCTTGGGTTGATATGTTGTAAATCAGAACTAGAAATGTTGAATTAGCAAAAGATTGTCTGACTTGCCTCTGAAATAATAACCTTCTATTTCCTTTGCATTTTTTTTTTTTTTTTACTGCGAGTTCTTATTTCTCACGACCGGGAATCCATGTGGCATCCCTTCCATACAAACCTGAGTTAAGGTTATGCGGAGGGTTGGGATGGTACTATCAAAGACCTGATGAAGTTCATTATGAGATCTCCCAGAAAGAGGATGAAATGCATATTCGAGACTTTGTCGAGAGAATGACTCCACAAAAATGAAAGTAAGTCACTGTCCTTAGCCTTAGCTTGCGACAAGGAAAAATAAATTGGCTTAGTATATAACCTTGGCTTTTCATTTCAGTTATTGAGGAAACTATTGTTGGTCTGTTTCCTATCCAAAAGGGGGAAAAAGAGTACCATGTTGTAGAATATTGTTATTTTCAGTCCTTTCTCTCTACATAACAAAATGCGCATGCATGCACCGTTCTAAGAGAATTTATTTTCATGTTGATTAACGATGACACATTTTAATTTGGCTTATCTTTGAATTGGATTGCTGAGGTGGAGCTGTTAGTACAATAAAGATCCTGCTCATCTCGTTGCTGGTGGAGGCAGATCTGTCTGCTGCAATTATGATTCCTAAAATTTTGGTGTCCTGACTCATTTTAACGGATAACTTGATAGATTTCTTTTCTTAGGTTTGCTGTAGGCATTTAACCAGTGTTTGCCCTATTATTCTGCAGTATTGGCCTGCTGAAATTATGATTCCTAAAATTTGAGTGTCCTGACTCATTAAAGGATAACTTGATATTTTCCTTTCTAGGTTTGCTTGTAGGCATTTAACCAGTGTTTGCCCTATATTCTTCAGTCATTGTCTCAAAAAAAAAAAAACAAAACCAAATATCTGTTGATTAGGACGTGAAGTTTGTTTAGTAGGTAGAACTTATATCGGTTACAGAGGAGGCTGAAAGGGAAACGGTATGATGATTTCATGAACTGTTAGGTTGAAGATGAGAGGTAAAAGTCTCAAAAAAAAATTATGAGTTTAGAGGAGTGGAGATAGAAGACCTTTCGGGGGCAGTAATTAGGTGACATAAGCTTATTTTTTTCTTTCGCTGTCTCCTTCCCCTTCTTGAAAGGTATCATATTAATTAAGTTATAAAGAGAGTAAATAGACTGCAGTTTGCTACAGTGCTCAGCTTTGCATGGGTCGTTATGTTGTTTCTTTTCTCTTGCTAAGTGTGCTGCTGTCGACTTTATGCACATCTGGTCTGTTTTTTCTCATCAGTGTGCAGGGAAGGTGAAATACCATAGATATAGCAGGCGTCGTCCTTCAGAAGGTTGGCAATTCACAGTGGAGAAAATGGGACCACGAGGAAGCGTGGAGCGGGTGGGGGGGTGGAAGTTTGTTAGCATGCCAGATGGGTCTCACGACCGCTGAATGAAACGGAAAAAATGTTTTGAAGCGAGAGAACCTCACCGTCGACGCAGAATTCTCCCATGTGTGCTTCAATAGATACGATAAATCCCTACTTACTGTTGTGTTTTCTGCATCAAAGTTACCATTTTCCGAAAACAAAATCAGTACAGTACCTTTTCTGCTCAGCAATGTAAGAACATGAACCCTTTGAATTTGTCGCATGGGCCTTTTCTTCTAATCGTGCTCTTTTTTCTCCTTTCTTTGTGGCTTCACTGGACCAGGTTTGCTGAAGTCCAAAAATCTAGTGACGGAAATAAATTTATTGTGTGTCTGTATATAATTATTTAGTGTCTCCGCTCTCTGTATCATCTAGTAAACCTAGTTTGATATAAATTTTTTAATGTGATCTTCCAAATGTTAAATTTTTAATATACAAAACAAGAAGTGTATAGCATTGACTATGCTTCTTATATCTCTTCCCCTGCAAACATAAACTGATCTTCAGGGGAAGAAGAGATGGTGCTTCATATTAATATCAAAAACAAGTAATTATTGTGAAATTATCTTTATAAAAATATATATAAATTTAAGTACAAAGATAAAATCATCTTTTGAAGAAAAGGTGGGGCCAACTCCGTTTGACTTGATTATTTTTGTTGTAGTCCAATCATTGGATCAAAAATGGTAAACTCCACAATTTGTTTAATTGATTTAGTTATATGATCAAAAATTACTTCACCAATTAATTGACTGATTGGCCACACATAATATATCTTTAAGCTTTTTTAACATGTACCAAATGAATTGTTAACATTGACTATGGTCTAAACGTTAATGAATTATACTAATGATGCATGTTTAATTGATCTAAACTCGCTTTTTTTTTATATGCCTAGCCATGGCTGTTGGTGCAGGAGATCAAAATAAGCAAGAAAAAATTAGAGATATTCAAAAACAATTAAAATGACATTCCAACTTATACAATTTAAGTGACAATGGTGTAGATATTCCTTTGGGACAGATGAGACCTGCTGCGAATTGATCAATTCTCGAATTGTCACATTAAGATTGTATAAAAAAGTGTATAAAAAAATTACAAGTGTCTATTCAAAACTTATTATTTTTACTTCATACAAGCAAAAGCCAGAACAGGAAGCAGGGCAAAATAAGTGACACCAGTGAACCACAACATAAGCTCATCGCTTATTGTCATGGCCATCATGGCTAAGAACCCATAGGCAGTGGCAATATATCCACAACCTGTACTGACCCTTGCACAAAAGTTAGATTTTTTTTTGTACTTATAAACACTTTACTTATAAGCTAGTTTTGACCAAGTATATTATCACATTATCTTTGTTTAATTTTAAAATTATATAGCATATTATCACATTACCTTGACCTACTTCACGCGCTTATGTTTTCGATTTGACCATTGGTTTTCCCACGCGCTTCTTCTTCATATTCAGAGTTCTGTTTAATTAACCTGTCTTTCAAACCACACGAGGCTTTCGCATTCCCAACCCAAAAGAAACCTGTCATAAATTTTCTTCGGCCAATTCCAGACGAACCTTTTATGCTTTCCCCATCCAAGACTTCACTAACTATGAGTGAAGATTGTGAAGAGATGCAACGTTCTGAAAAGACTGAAGAATCGCTGGCACTTGAGGGAAAGGCTAAAGCTGCTTCATTTGGTAAGTAAGCTATTTCTTCAAGTTCATTCTTTTCATAATCATAAGTAGCTGTTAACAATTTTATTCTTTCCTTAAATTTATATTAATTAGTTGATCTCTTTATAACCAAAATTTAGGTGTATTAATATGTGAACAATTTTCTGTAAATTCTTTTTAATCATTTCATTCTATCTTTCACTTAAATTAATATATTTCACATTAGTTGATTTTACACAATTTTTCTTCTTCTTTTTCAAAATTTGAGATTATAATTCTTGATTCAATTCAATTTGTATGATTAAATTAATTTATTATTTTAGTTCTGCTGAATAGTGTCTGCCAAACCTGCATTTCAAATCTGATAAATTTTTCTTCCGCCAATTCCAAACAAATCTTTTACGCTTTTCCCATCGGAAACTTATTCAGATGAAATTTGCAAGGCGATGCTATCAGATCTTGCAGAAATGGAGAATCGGACAAACCGCTGGTATGTATCTCTTTTCAAAATAGTGAATTAGTTTAAGCTCTGAGGTATCTTCTGTTGCCTCATATTCAAATGGCAGGCCTGAGTATGAGCATGAGCGAGAGCTGGTTGAAGATCCACTTGTGGAACAATCATATCAGGCAGTAGTGAACGAAAACTGGTATGTATCCTTGACCAAAGTCTGAAATTCGTTCGTGCTCTGAAACATAAAATTATGCTCCCTAAAGCTTTAATCAAATGGCAGGCACAAGTTTCATATGACTGAAGGTGAAAAGGCTGAGGTTGTCGGAAGACTGATATCTGAAGCTTGTGAGGGAAAGGCTAAGGCTGCTTCACCTGGTAAGTAAGCTATTTCTTCAAGTTCATTCTTTTTATAATCATAAGTAGCTGTTTCCTTAAATTTATGTGTATTAATATGTGAACAATTTTCTGTAAATTGTTTAAAATCATTTCATTCTATCTTTCACTAAATTTAACACATTTCACATTATTAGTTCTCGAGTCAGATTGCTTCTTTATATTTAATTACTTAGTTGATTTTACACAAATTTTCTTCTTCTTTTTCGAAATTAGAGATTATTATTCTTGATTCAATTCAATTTGTATGATTGAATTAATTTTGTTACTTTAGTTCAATTTGATCGCCCTCATACATTCAATTATTTTTCAAATTCAGATTTCATTCCAAGCCTGGCTGTTCAGGATACGGTATCAAAGGTTAATTTGTGGACAAGTTTGGCATTCATTTCAGCTACAATTTTCCTAGATCGAGAATATTACAAAGACATAAATTCAGTTTATAAGTTGTTTGATGCCTTCATGATTTGTATCATTTTGTCTTTCACTGGGGCATTTTGCGCTTTGCTGATCAGAAACAAGCCCAAGCTTGCAGTTCTCCGAGGATGTTATTTCTTGCTCTCCATTGTTTCAATGGCATCAGCTTTATCAATAATGGGATATGCCTTGTTTCTAGAAAGTTTCGGCTGGGTTTATTGAGGATTAATTTGTGGCACAATTAATACCATAGCTTTTCAGATTTGTGGGAAGAATTAGGAAAAAGAAAATTATTAGCCATGTTGTTGAATATTTCTCTTCTGTTTCTTGAATTTACGTTTTGACTTGCACTTTATGTATAATTATTAATATCTTGAAACTCCTTGAATTTCCAAATAACTTTACCATTTTCCTTCTCTTTTAGAATACAGAACTCTAAATTAGATCCAATACATGTTATGTATGATTGTGAGATCCTTTGAAGATTGGTAGATGCTATTTGCTGATTAAATTACATATGTTTTTTAAGATGTTATTTCCTAATAACATACATATGTTAAATTTCTTTTTCAGTTTATGGGTTTATGTGGGTTTTTTAACGATTAGATCAGAAAAAAATTCTTGTGATACCAAATACTTAAAAAGAGTAGAGCTGAAAATTGCTCAAAACATGTTATCTATGTTATGAACTCTGTGTTGGAGTCGCCTAAGACCAGGAGGCTTCATCCATCATGAACCCTTCATGAAGTACCATGGATTCATTTTTGATACCTGCAAGGTTCACCAGTCTTGTGAGATAAATTTTGTTTTCCTGGAGTATATTAGTTTGATATAAATATTTTATTATGAGATAATAATCTTAATATTGATTAGACTATAATTCAACTATTTAAAAATATTCTTCTAAATACAAATATTTAAAGTTTAATAAATTAAATATTTTACTCAACATATAACCAAAGAGCCTTTAACTGGGTAGTATGAATCTCTCTTGTCCAAGAGGCCATAAGGAAATTTGATGACATGCATGTTAAGACAGAGGCCAGAATTGCAGCAAGACGTGAGGAAAATTTGATTAGTTTGGGTAGTTATAATTGCGTTAAGCCAAACGAACAAGATTTTGCATATTTCTAGCAATAACCAAAAAATGCATGTGGCTCTGCTTCTTCATTCTTAGGCTGAAAGAGGGCCTCTATTCTCTCAGCAACAATTTTACAATATGCATTAATGCATATGAGTACCGCTGCTTCAGCTTCAGCTGTCAATTCCTTAAAAATATCACTGTGAAGGGGTTCATGAGTAAGCTTCGTCGGGGCAAGTCCCAAATTGGTGGACCAGTTCTAGAACTATTGGGATGTAAGTTCGAAAAGTGCTTTTCGTGTTCCCGCCCAAATATGCACATCCTACGCCCACAAGAAGCGTCAGATTGGGAATCTCGCTAGCTAATGAACGTTTCAGGGTCTGAAAGAGCAAACTGAAGCTCCCACGGATGGATCAAAATTGACTTACTGAGAGAAGTAAGAGCTTCAGATTGGTTACAACCATGAACCTGCCCTGTTACAGGACAGCTTTCATCAGGAACAAGAACGGACTTTCCCTCACTGCCGTAACCAAGACAAAAAGTGGTATTGGCTGAACCAGATGATCCCCCAGGAAACTTACTCGTAGCACTGGACCGCTCATCTGAACTGGCGATTACCTCACTGTAGGCTATGGCGGAAGCACCGGTAGACAAGTTAGGGGGATTAGGTTCCACAGTAAAACAAACTATTTCAGGAGTAGAATACCTTTTGCACCACTTGGAGCGTTTGGAAAGTTAAAATGATGGCGATGAAGAAACCACTTCATGAAAAACAAAAGAAATTTAAAACATTAATCATTGTCCTAAAACAGAGATTCTAAGTTTCCGCCTGGACCAGTCAAAGGAAAATTCCAGAAGTTTGCCACAAATTAATTAATTAACATTTAAATAACTTATAAACGATTAAGACTCAGTAAACAGAGGTTTCATTATGAATTTCCTACGTAGAAAATTTGACTAAATGTTAATTTGGATCAATAAACAAAGACTTAAGTTTCGGTGCGGGGAAGCCATGAGAAAATCCCATCAAGAAAAGATTATAATATATTTACATTGACTTACAAAAACAACTAGTTCCTCATAATTTCTTCTCTCTGCAAAACTGTAACCGATCTCAGAGGAAGAAGAAGATGATGCCCAAAGTTCTTCCTGTTCATCTTCCCTTTAACTCTCCAAACCGTCTTCCAAGCCAAGAAATCCGAATGATCAACTGGGCAAAGAATATTTGGCTTTTCTGTCTCGTTTTTGCTCTGGCTCTATGGTTACATCATCAACATTACGGGAATAATGGAGGATCAGTTCCTAAACCATACGAAGATGCGCTTATGATCTCCATCATGTTTTCCTGTATGGGTGCTTTTAGTGCCTTGCACATGAGAGACAAGCCACAATTTGCAATAGTTCGCAGAGTTTACTTCGTAATCTCTATGGTTTCCATTGCATCAGCTTTGAGAATACTGGCCTTTGCCTTGCTTTCAGAAAGTTCCAGGCCGGTTTCTCTGGGAAGCATATTGCGGCAGAATCGAGTCAATGGAGAAGATCACTTAAATAGATTTTTCTTGTTTCAGAGGATGAAGTCTCAGAAGTTGTTTGAGGCCTTTTGTCATCTGTAAAAACTAATCAATATAATTTTGCTATTTGTCAAATAAATTATTGAGACTACTGACCTTGAATGTTTATTAATATCTAGGTTTCGGTTTATGTGTGCTAATATTGTTCGTTAGTCTGATGAGTTTGATTTCTATATCAATAGTTTCCATGATTCATGCATGTCTGGAAAAATCCCTTTTGAAGAACCCAACAAAATTTGCAGACCTGATCTTTAATTTGCATGAAAGAGTAAAGCTTTAGAAACGTAAATATGATTACTACAAACCATAAATATGGTGAACAAACAGGAGCTGATATTTGGAACAGCACAGACCTGATCTTTTTCAATTTACATGCTCTTATATCCAAAAGTTTTGATTTCCATCCATAATTATAGTACACTACCCTCCAATGAGATCAGCTCAAATAGTTGGATCTTGCCTTGGGTTGGTGTTTGTTACTTGACACTCATGGTGCTGGTTGTTAGATATAGTGTATACTTCTCTTAATATTGAAAGATTGTATGATTATGAAGACTAATTCGGTGAACGGATAAGCCTCCTTCACGATAAACCCAATGTCTAATTGGGTTTAGAGTTAGTTTACTAATATTTGGGTCTCGGTCAAGTTAGATTTGGGTAAGCCCAAATGGGGTTAGAGTTTTATAATGTATTTTCTGTAATAGTGGAAAACCTAATGTGAAAAATTATAGAGAGTGAGAGTGAGTTGTTGTTATAATTGCTGCAAGTTCTAATACTCAATAAAATTCTTTGTTTAAATACTGGATGTAGTTCCTTGATTAGAACGAACCAGGGTAAATTATTGTATAATGTTTTTCATTTTATGTTTAACTTGTAACATGTTTGCTTTCGGTTTCAATACTAGTCTCTTTTCTTTGTACAACCCCTCTATGAGAATATGTAAGAAACTGCGTGATCACTATTTCATCGAGTATTTGATGATGAAATTCAGGTGTACTCACTAAAAACCAATTCATGGAAAAGAATTTTGTGTGATATTTCAAGTGTTCATGCCTGAATTCAGCTTTGTTATGTCATATAATTTTGTTGATGAGATGTTGAGAGCCCAGAGCAGTGCCTGAGCATGAAAATGAGCACTGCCTTGATAGGTGAAATTGCATACGAGTTTATCATCTATTTTGGAGAGGCCTTCGATATGGGCTTGCCGAACTGGGCCCATCAGGTGCCAATGTGAATTACCGAAATTACCCCTGTATAATTGTGGAGGTGGAGCCCAATTGAGAGTGAATAGAAGAGTGGCAGGTGGAGAGGGGAAGAAGTGACGCAAACAACGTCAGTAGAGAGGTCTTATCTGATAAGACAACTGACTTTTGATTAGACACAATCACATCCATTCATTATTCATCATTCATGATTGATGATGATGATGGTTATATGTATCTGTATCTATATGCCTTCATCATCATCAACATCATCATCACCCAAAAACCTTAAGACCTGGCAGACACATCAGACGGTTGATGGTGACCCTACTTTTTTAAGACTCACAGCGCAGCAGAGGCAGAGAGACAGTATCGCGCGGAATGCGCGGGAGCTTGCTTTGTCTTAGGGTGGGTCCTTCTCTCTCCTATCATTTTTTTTTTTTTTTTTATTTTTTCAATCTTCAAAATATAATCTTCGTACTACTTTTGTGGGGCATCGATCAGATGACTATTCAGCACATGATCATCATCAATTCTTGTTTCTTCTTCTTCTTCTTTATGTCACTGTTGTTTACCAGTGAAATGTAACGTGCCTTAATAGCAAATCAACACCAACCGTCAGATGATCATCATGATTCAAAATATTTGTTATCATCTAATTATAATTACTTCTCTAATCATATACGTTTTTAGGATAAACTCATCCTAACAGACCAATCGTAAAAAGTTAATGAAAAATGTTTGTGATTGTTTTTAAAACTTTTATTTTGATGATCAGAGTTATCCGAATCAGTTTATGCACATCTTAATTAATTATTCGAAATTCTAAAAAATCGACTGAATAACAGTTTTAATAGCCACTCTTAAAAAGACCGAAACAAATTAAACTCAAAATCTCTTAAATAATATACCTAAAAGTCCTAATTGATCGACTATCTAGTGGTTGTTAATGGTTTATTTTTTTTATTCATAAATCATGAAGTCGGTAAGTTTACAGTTTCTGGATAGAGAAATTGATAATGTGTTAGAATGATGGTGAGAGCAATGATGTGATACAAATAGAGACAGCTCATCTCCATCTCCATGTTGATACACTGGTTTGGTTGCTTTGTCTCTCTGTCTGTCTCCCTTCCCCACCACCTTCTATTTCCTCTCATCCATCTCCATTCTTTACTCATTATCATCTTCAACCCTACAATCTTTAAGAATCACATACAAGACAACTCGGCGAACCCCTCTAGTTTACCCCTTTTACCTTATGGTCCTTTCTGATTGAAAAGATCTCACTTTATGGGTCCCTAGATGAGTAGTCATTGTCTACTCGACCCCTTTGACATCTCTAATTCCTTATCAATGAGTAATGGTAATATTTCAAGATTTCGCTTGATGAAAAAAGATACACTAATAAGAATCATATAAGGAAGGAACATGGAAGATCTTGATAGTACATAAACTAACAAACATTTGGGCCGACAGTAGATGAAGATGAACCAACTAACTTACCTAACTCTTGGTGACTGAGTGGTAACATGTTAACAACCATCTTAAACGATTACTAAGGGAATTTTTTCAAAAATAATAATTAAGATTTACATGAGAAACAGAATAAGGGCCTGCCTGGTCTTGAATGTAAGTAGTAGATGATTTTGATTTGTCTATGATCCTCCAGTTCCAGGTCCTCCCAGGGTTAGAACCACACCCTGGAGATCGCTTCTCAGCTTAGGCTCTTTGCCTAAGGATGGAGGAGGAGAGGCTCTGATAATAGGAAAATGTCTACTTGCTTGAGCTTGTCGGAAGGTCAGAGCAGACTCGGGTATGGATAACCGAGTTGGCTGCTGAGAACGCTTGAAGGGTTCAAGAGGATTTGAGTTTGGGAATGGTTGAGCAACGACAATGTGGTTTGTTGAAGATGGAGTTTGAGCAATCATCGACCCTCTGGAGACATTCCCGGGTCCCTGGTTTAACAAAAATAATTCCCATAAGCAAAGCAGAAGCTTGAACATTGTAACGACTATAATTAAACAGTTGAATGCTGGAGGCTTACGGGAGGAAATAAAACCCCTCGGAAAATCTTCCCATTAACCGTTGCTGTCATTAGGAAACCTGAGTCGAAGGCTCCATCAACTTTTCCGTGAACATCAGCTCCAATCTAAGGACAATAATAAAAAATAATGGAAGGCATCAACCAATAGAAATCGGGCAACAAGCAAAACAAACAAAAACATTGCAACTAAGAAGGTATTGTAGCTTCAAGAGATCTTGAAAACATCAATATATTACCAGATTATGAATGGATGATCCTGCATCCAGTGGTTTCAGTTCCACAGTTGGATGTTGAGTTCCTTGTCGACCTGCATGAACTACATTAAGATGCTGTTCTGGTTTTTTATTGTTTTGATGTTCTCTTAGAAACTGATGGTCTTGTGGAGTTCTCTGGATCATGTTTCTGGAATCTTTCTGATTACTTGCAATGCTGTTCGGCTGACTATTATTAGGAACTTGACTTAAACGCTTGAACAAACTGAACCCCTGGGACCCCGTGATAGATTCAGGGGCTTTTCTGACTGGGGTTTGCTCTTGATCAGATTGTGATGGTGAAGAATGCTGTGAGAGTGAAAGGGAATGCTCTTCTTGTTCTGATTCAATATCACATACTATAGCTGGATTCGAAGTTCTTCTCTTCTTTGAATGCAAAGTATCTGAAAGATAATGAAATACTTGAATCAATCATAATTCAAATCCCTGTGTATGAAATAACACAACAATATGGATATTCTGAGCCAAACCTGAATTGAACTGAAAAGATTGCTTGGGCTCTAATTCTGGTTCATAAGCTCCTTTACTTCCGAGAAACATAGTTTTCTGATTCATAACAAAATAATAAGCTCCCTAGCCCCCATTATTGAACTCACATATTTTTACATCTAGTATATAACATCATTACCAAGTTTTCGTCTGCTCCTCCAGGGAACTTTCGTTTTGCTTGGCTCCAATGGCTTCCGAATATTTTGCACATGGAAATGTTGTAACGACCATTGGGATGATCTGACCCAAGCTGCAAGACCAACAATTCATTGAGAGGACGCTCATCCTCCCCACATCTGCTTAAATAGAAAAACAAGTTAAACTAAAATTAAGGACCAGGGACAGGCATGTGAAATTTCTGTGCAGTAAATCAGCGATAAACCTTACCCTCCATAGATGGCAATATCTGAGTCAGTAACAACAGCAGTATGAGAAAACCGTCCTTGGGGTTGCTGGCCACATATATCAAGTCGAGTCCATGAGCAAGTACACACATCAAGAATCCAAACATCATTATAGTAATGTTTGTCTCCTACCCCTCCAATAACATAAACCTGCAAACCATAAAGACATCAGTAAGTGATTGCTGACAACGATACTGAACTTCGGCGTGATTTTTTTATCCGAGTCAAAGACAATAAGCCAACCAAGCTATGTTATAGAAACTCCCTAACTAAAATACCAAATATACTATTTAAGTAACATGACTTGCCTTTGTTCCTACATTTACAGCAGCATGACCTGCTCTAACACCTGGTGAAGGCCCTTGAACTACCAACTGTAGGAAGTCATAAAAATATGAGCATCACACTCCAACACAAACAAGATATATATTCAGTGAAATATGACATTAAATTTCATAAAACCGATCCCAAGAGACAGGAATGTGAATGCCATACCCTTGACCAAGTCAATGTCCTCATGTCCAGCATATCAACACCTCCATGGTACCGATCACCACAATCCCCACCATACACAAAAAGCTTATTAGCTATTACATTACAGCTGTGACTGTCCCTAGGGACAGGAATATCACCCTTCACTGCCGGAGAAGTCCATATCATAGTCTTGAGGTCTAGAACATGAAAATCGTTCAAGTAATTCGCTTCCCCTTCTCCACTACCTCCAAATATAGCCATTTTATCATCACAAAAAAGCGTTGCAGTGTGGCTTTCACGAGGAGAAGGTGGAACACCTCTGCATACAGGCCGTATCCACTCTTTCGACCCAAGATCTAATATGTGAAGGTCATTCACCTTCTTAGAACCATTTGTACCCCCAAAAACAATCATCTTTTGCCCCACAAGAACAGCACTATGGCTGTCCCTTGGGCCAGGTCCTTGACCTGTGGTTGCAAGAGTGCTCCATACCATTGTATCCAGATCTAGCATCAGAACATCACTGAAATGCAAACCCCCACAACATCCCTGAAGTAAATAAACAGAGGAAATTAATAAAATAATAATTGGCATCAAGTTTATGTTTACTTAGAGGTAATTCTAAAGCTTTCCTCTCTAAACTTTGCCATATTCTTTCATACCAATAAAATGATTCAACAGTGCATCTTCAACCTATTATTGTTTAATTGGTGCTTTTTGAGGCCAAGCAGTGCACTTTGCAGGCTCAAGTTTTCCAAATTATGAAGATCCAAAAGGTAGAGCCAAAGGAGTTGAAAACATTTAATTACCGGAAATAATTTTTTGGTGGGTAGCAAAATTCTAAGAAGTCACAATAAAATAAAATAAATTAATTAAAAAAAAAAAAAACTCAGGGACATGAAAATTAGAGAAACAGAGAAAAGATTAAAGTTTTGACAAGGACAATAAATAAACATTTTTAGTAACACTGCCATCATCAATATTAAAAACAAAACAACTTGTTTTAATGAAGTTATTGGCTAAAGAAATTGATATACAACAGGAAGGTGGAAGCAAAAAGCAAAAAGCAAAATTTTTTTAGGTTTTCTTGACCAGGAAATATTTGATATGGAGAAAACAAAAAGAAGGTATTGTGTCATAAACAATGAAATTGATAGAAAACATGGCTGATCCCAAGTTATAAAATGACACATTTAAAAATTAATGAAGTAATGATACATGAAAATAAGGACCAAAAAGAGTATGAAAATATTTCTATAACAAGAAAGAATGAAGATAACAGTCATCCTACCTAAAACCTGTTCTACTAATTAAAGGAACTAAAACAAAAAAAAAAAAACACAAACTTCAGACTATCCAACAAGAAACAGAAGAAGATAAGAAAAAAAGGAAAGAACTAAAAGCAATGAAGAAAGGTAGTATTTTCTTAGCCAAAAATAAGGATGCAGAAGAATTAAAGAGAAATAAGAAAGAATTCAAATAAGCATACAGCATCATCAAAGCTAATAAAAGTACACTANCATCCTACCTAAAACCTGTTCTACTAATTAAAGGAACTAAAACACAAACTTCAGACTATCCAACAAGAAACAGAAGAAGATAAGAAAAAAAGGAAAGAACTAAAAGCAATGAAGAAAGGTAGTATTTTCTTAGCCAAAAATAAGGATGCAGAAGAATTAAAGAGAAATAAGAAAGAATTCAAATAAGCATACAGCATCATCAAAGCTAATAAAAGTACACTAATAAAAAGAAGAAAAATTTAAGTATGGAATTATTAAAAGTTTGTAGTTTTAAAAAATTAAACTCACCCCAAAAACATAAACAACACCATGAGAAAAGCAAGCTGAGTGTCCCCATCTCTCAGGGGGATTGAAGCCTAAAACCTTTGGATAAAGCCACATTGGTGACTTCTTTGAAGGTTCATGAGCTCCAAGAGAACCCATTATCTTGTGAAATTCTCTCTCTCTAATCTTTTATGAGTTGGTTTGAGAGCTGAAGTTTGGTTTGAAGTTCAAACACAGTGCTTGACAATGATGAAGCAACAAAGGAGGTGAGATATAGAGGGTCAAAAGAGGACATGAACAAGCCAAGTGATATATCAACTATCAGTGTCAATAGACATGAAAAGATGGGCGCTTTCGAGTCTCAGTCACTGTGGCAACCAACATCAACAGAAGCTGTGGTGAAAAGAACATATATATTATATATTGTTTTTGTTTTTGTTTATATATTAAACTTGTTATATATTGTTTAATATTTTCCAAAAAAAGGTTGTTATATTTGGGTACATGGGTGGATATGGTTGAATAGAAAGGCATAAGTGCATAACAAGTGGTGATGTAAAATCATAGTAAGTAAGATGAGTGTTGAGTGAGAGTGAGAGAGAGAGAAGTGTTTGTATTTCTTTTTTTAAGTGGATTGTTTATTTGTTTGGTTACTTTCCTCACTTGTCTAACTGAAAATGATGGAAGTGTGGGGGCATTGAATTGTGGGAAATGATGAGGGAAGGTTTTTCTTGGGAGTTTTGACAGTAGTATTGCATAGGTTTTGGTTTTGGTTTTGGTTTGGGTTTGGGTTAGTGAGTGATGAGGTATATCATTTTTTCAAAACTCACATGGTGTTTGGTTATTTGGTTTCTTTTTCTTCGTTAATATGATATTGGGATTGATGGAAGAGAAGTTCTACTTTCTTTCTTTATTTTTCTTTCTCTCTCTCCCTTTCACACCCAATTTTCAAGGTGGGTTATTGATGTTGATCTAGAAATGTCACTTCTCAAGGGTCTTTGGGGAAGTGTGGGACTTTGTGTTGTGGGAAATTCTTTTTTAGTTTTTGGGAAATGTAATGAAATGAAATGGAGGGTGTTATTTCTTTCAAAAGCTTAATTAATGGTTTTTTTCTCAAACTCAACTCAAAGGTAGGCTACTAGTGACCTCATCATCTCACCTTCACCTTCACTTTCACTTTCACTTTCACAATCAAAACCAAATATCACAACTTTCCATCCATCCATCCATCCATCCATACCCTCATACATTTTTACACATAGTTATACATCATCCATCATACATACATGATAAGGGTGTTAAAGTGATGCACATGGGAGGCCATTCCCAATTTCCCATTCCCTACCTCCTTGACGGTAAAGTCTTATTAGTACTATGCTTTCTTTTGATATTTCCTTTTCCCCAAAATTGCAAATGTACCTATAACTCTTCTCTCTCTCTCTCTCTCTCTCTCACTCTCACTTCAATAAATGACCCATCCATCCAGCTCTTGCTTGCTCATATGATTAACCCAAATGTAATTAAAATAAATGAGTTGGATGATAATTAATAGTGAATAGTAGAAGAGTCGTGTTGACTGTTTGAGTTGACAGTTGATAATGGAGAGATGGAAGGAAGGAAAGGAAGGAAGAAAGAAGACGTAGAGTACACGCGACAAACACGGGAGCTTCCTAGTGTTATGCAATGGCTTATTGGCGGTAGTCTAGTCTGTGCTTTGGTTCACGTGACACACCCTCTGTAACTTGTTATCACCTTTTCTCTTTCAAATGATATGATATGAAATGAAAAGAAAAGAAAAAGAAAGTCTCCTGTTTTTATCAACCAAACTGTTTATACATCTTACTTAACCTAACTTTATAAATTAATACTACCCATCTCTTTGTACAATCATCTCGGCAACTCCTTGTAAAGATTAGCCTAACAATTTAGTACTACGTATTCTAAATTAAACCTAAGATTGTATGTCTTATTCATATTATCTTCAACTCGTTTTAACCGTTTAAACTATTTACAGTAAAAATATCAAAAGTTTTCTTAAAACTATCAAATATAACTTTATCAAAAGTATAAAAAAAAAAACCTACTAATACAAGGTATAAAATGATAAACACCTCCTACAGGGTACATAACATAATTCTATTTATTATTATTGAAATTTGAAAAGTACTATATATTTCTATTATTATCGAAACAACCCATATTAAAAACATCAAACACCCGGATCTATAATATTTTTTCAATAATTGTAGATGCATTTCAAAATAAACAATCGTCAAAGGGTAAACGAGAAGGTATTGGACACATGTAGTTTTTGGTTCCCAAAATGTAAGTAGTGAAAAGAGTGAGAGTGAGTGAAAGTGAGTGATGGTGTTAGTGTTTTGTACTAGTGAACTGTGTTTCTTGGAATACGGGCGTCCAGCCAGCGTGACGGGTACGTGCAGTTCACTCTTATACACTAAACAAAACACAACCCCCAATATCACATAACATTACATTAACAACTCAACTACCGCACTATTCTTTCACTTTATTACACTGCTCTCTTTTCTTTCAATCTCTCTCTGTTTTACTGTTTCTTTTATCTAACAGCCACCTCAAAGTCAACATGTATCCTAGACATCAACCTTAAAGTGGGTTCCAATAATGTTATCGAATCGATAAATAACAGCTACATTCTAATCTTTAATACTATACAACATCTCAAGATTTATTATTCCAAAGTTGAGCACAAAAGGGTAAGAGAATCTTTAGTCTTTGTGAATCAATAGCAACCACTCATAATTTTTCAACATTCCATTTCTATCTTTTGCATGAAATGCAATTACTCAAAGAAGGAAAAAAACATTCACCTCCAACAATAGAGTGATTTCAATTGAATTTTTTTTTTGAATTAGTTGATGCTTTACAGATTTATCTAAATGTTTGTACAGGTTGTAACGTTATCATAAACTAAACTTGGTTCAATCTTCTCATCTAATCTTATAATACATGTGGGCATGTTACAGACTTTACAGTAAAGCTTCCGAGTGGAGAATATATACCTCAACCTTTTCTTTTTTTTTTTTTTTTTTTTTTACGTAGAAGATAAATGTGGACCTCATCGAAAGTATATGACCACATCCTGGCTCCGAAATAACCTTTCAATGGCAGAAACTGACACCTGTTTATGACAGCACAAGAAAAAGACATTTGAGAACATTAGCATATCACTGGAAGAACCCACTGTCTGTGCGGTAAAGTTGTTCAAATAATGCACTCAAATCACCTTTTGTTATCCAAGGTTTTGAAGATAATGAAATCCATCATCCTCGATCATAATACTCAAAGCATAAAAAAAGAACTGTACAAATTGTGCCTAGACTCGTCATGATGCAAGTTGGAGCATAATATAATGGTTCAATCAAAGCCCAGTCTCTTAGTGGGGCACTTATAGATCTACTGGCAGTCTTAAGTATATGGGCTACTTGAAGGATGATTATCCAACCAATGCAGTGAAAAACTTAAATATAATAAGGCATACTTGAAGATAAGTTTCTAAACCTATTAAGGTATTTGAAAATTATTCCATTGACTAAAAGGTAATTCCATTTTAACATTTGTCAGTCACCTAATGGGGAATCTTGTGAGAAGTTCCATATCTGTAGAAGCCCATCCAAGAAACGGGCCACATAAAGATACATCATACAGCATTGGTCGGCAATTTTCTGTCCTAAAACAATAAAATTAGGATCATGCATAAAATTTTCTGGATGATCAGACAAGTTGCAAAATCATTCTTCCAAGCTAATGAATTGACATATAAAACGAAAAAGAAAAATAAAACAAACTCTACTTTAGATTTAAGAATGAGGGTCAAAAGAGAAAAGGCTTTTCTGTTCATCTGTTGGATTTAACAACCACCGGCAGAACGTCCATGATGCCCCAACTACAGATAAGAGTGATAGGGTTGCCAAAAATCCAAAATGTGATACATCATTTGCAATGATTGCAACTCCTAACATTACAGATTCTGCTAAGCTTGCTACAGAAATCTCTGTCGTCCCAATAAGGTTCGCTTTGGATGATGGGATCCCTGTTTGAAGAATTTGTGCTCCCACAATATCATATGACATATGTCCCAACCTTGATAAGACCTGCATACAAGTAGTGGATAAATTCTTGTTTAGAGGAAGATAAAACAAATGATACAGAACAAGATAATAAGAAAGGAGATAGACATCTTCATGTCTTCAAAAAATGTCAACTATAAAGATTAAAAACAAGTGAATGATTCTCACAATCAAGCACAAGAAGAATAAAAGAGGACTTTGCTGGGAAAAATATCCACTCCAGTATACAGCAACCGCCATGGTAAGAAGAGAAGCCTGAAAGATTAGTCCAACTGCTCCAGCCTGGTAAAATGAAAAGAAATATATCCATAAGCATTGCCACTAGAACAAGAAATTGTGGTTGCCCGGTCAGAAGAAAAACAAAAATAAGAAGCAACCTTCAAAATTCCAAGTCGCCTAACCAAGTATGCTGATAAGAATGTAGCTGCAACACCCATGAAGGCACATAGCCCACTAAAACCACCAATTATAGACGGATTCAGACCTGTTAAATTAATATCTCCAAGTCAGGAAGCAATTTCTGAGGGAAGATAGGGCAGAGGTTTTGTGAAGCAAAGTGTAAAATGAATTATAGATATTTTCAATGATAATAATTTCAAAGCAAGGAAACAAAAATGAAACAGTTGCATGCATGCCAACCACTCTCTTCTTCTTTCCTAGGCAATTATGTAGAATATATTTGAGTAAACAAGGATCTGTCAATCTTGTAGAGAAGACCTTCCAATATGAAACACTAGAATAAAACCACCACACTGTGGCTTCTGAGAAATTAATACCATAAAGAATCACTAAAAGTAGATCAATGTCTAAGAAAACGCAAGAGAATAAGCTTAGAGCAGGAACACCCAAGTGTCCTCTGAATAGTGATGTAATCAATTTCTGACATGTGCCACATTTCACTACCAAAGAAGTGGGTTCTCAAACTAGTCTGGATTATTAACAACGAAAGTTCTCAGAGAAATATGTTTAAATAATGCCAAGCAACATAAAACTGTTGATTTGCAGGAGAATGCATGCATTACTTGGGGCTTGTCACCAGTCTGGACTCAAATGAGTCAAGGAAACTAAAAAAATATGTAATAAACAGGGATAAAGAGTTTGAAAACTACCTCGTTGTGTTAAAAATGCTGTCATCAAACTGCCTGGAGTGAGAATGACATTGAAGTATAAAAGTACATAAGCTAGGCTTGCAGGAAGAACTGGCTGTTGCACATATTCCTTCCATCCAAGCTTAATAGCTTCCAAACCTACATCCACTGGTTAACCGGCAGATGCAATCATTAAATACAGCATGGAAGATTACCCTTTTAAACAGAAAATAATCAACTCAATAAATCCCACCTATGCTGCCACCATCAGGCAAAGGCCTTCCCCTGGATGTTCCGCAACAGCTTTGTGAACATTTAGCGCGGTCAAGAACCCCAGTAGAAAGTTTGTTCGTTAACCATGTGAGAATAATCTGGGAAACTGTGTCGGTAAAACAGAAAGAGGAATGTATTTTCCAAACAAGAAAGACAATCAAAACACAAAGAAATGCAATTACCATAATAGGCAATGACCAAACCATTGAACCAGCAGCAAACTTCAAGCAGGTAACTGGATCATACTTAGAGAGAAGAATACCAAACAGAGATGCTCCAGCTATCTGTATATAAATTTAAATCTCTTAAGGTGGAGTTTCTGTGTACTCTAAATTCCTTATAGGGTATAAGTGGTCCACATTGAAATTAAAATAGCAACTATTATACCATGGCCATACAATTACAGCCACGTAGACAAACTCTCAAAAATACAGACAATTACAAAATTGGCACACACCTCGCACAGCAGATCAATACGGTTAAGAATAGCATTTGCTTGTGCAAGTGCAATTGGCTTGTTGATTCCTGCTAACTGCCAACATGAGAAAAACCAACTTAGCAGATGCTAAACTTTCTAGTATTAAGAATAGTTATCAATACACATGACAATGGGAAGGAAACCATGGAAAAGAGCTACCAGCACAACCCAATCACGCTCCATGGCAACTCCCAATGCTACTCCACATAACCTCTCGATAGCGCCTGCTAATACCAGTACAATAAACCAAGGACGGAGAAGAACAGATGATGAAGAAGTAGGAAGTGCAGTGTGGGCATGAATTATCATTGCTGCAGATAACAACTGTGCAGAAGCCTGACAAAAGCCGAATATTAGTGGACAAATTAGAAGAGATTTAGTTGCAAACCAATTTGAGGATGAGTAATGTTTAATAAGAAGATACCTGGACAGTATTCAAGCAAACATATGTAGGTACTCTGGGAGAATGATCCATGAGTTTACCCACCAATGGACCTCCAATAATTAGTGCAAACTGTTTAACAAAATAGCGGTCAGAAATTATCTTCATTATGTCCTATTATACAAGGTTAATTTATCTCAATGTAATGATTCAACCTTACTGAAGAATCCCATGACTGCCACAGGTAGAAGGCTTGGATGAAGCAAAGCAATAGCAGAAGGCCAAGCAAAAGTCCAAAGTTGTTCCACCAAGTTGCCAGCAAGACAACAAGCATACAAAGCTGAAAAAATTACAGAATTCAGGTTAACAATGGCCTAAGAATTTTGACATCACTACAATCATCTATCTGATAGTTTAATTGACAAATCAAGACACATTGGGAAGCAAATGTCTCAACTGTTTCTTCACAAAAAAATTACAGTGACATTATTAGATCACCACAAACAAGAAAAGTCGTTCATGCCACCAAGAATTAATTGCAACCAGTAACTCAGGAGGGATCCACCAAGATTCAAATGAAGAGCTTCTTGCACCCTTTTCAATATTTTCAAATTTAAGAGGCTTCATTCTAAGGAACGGTTTTGTCTACATGAAGACATCTTTTGTTCTTTATGACGTAAATGGTTCTGACATTACTTCTTTTTTCTTTTCTAACAAAAGACACATAAAATCTTAAACCCCTAACTCAATTGCATAGGCTATGGTTATAAGTTTTACCCTCATCAAGAACTTTATTATGCTAACAAAAAGTTACTGTGCTTTAGTTAAGACTAAAAGGTGACAGTTCTTACCATGCAAACCCTCTGGGTGGGCTGGAGTTGCAGCAAGGGCATTCTGCTCCTCCTCTGATAAAACCTAAGCAGCAAAGAATAAAATAAAAATTGGAATGTAGCTCAATATCAAAAACTAATAGGGAGTTCAGGTATATCAAGCAACCATCAAGTTAATAGATTACACGTACTGGCAATGTCGTCAAAAGACTATCTACATAAGTTCCTTCAGTGAGCAAAGTCACAGAATCAGTCTGAAGAATATCAGGATTTAGATGAACAATCGGACACTCCATTTCAACAGCTGACATATCTTCTTGGACTTCGTCATCGGCAGCAACTTTGTTCATGTGCAGCTCAGTGTTCGTTATTGAGCACCTTGAAACAAAACTGTAACAAAAGAAAAGAAAAAAAAAAAAATATATCAGCAGCATGCCCTTGCCAAGAACCTGATACATGAATTGCAGTGCACACCATCCTGGTTCAAAAACTAAACCAACCGTTCCACCTTCTTTGCCAAGTTGTATATACTACTTTCACTAAATGAATCACAGGCTCCAGTTACATTTCCTTATTACAAGACATTTTTTAAACGTGCCACATTGCACTTGTAATATCAAATTCCACATTATTAACATTTAACATCAACTAGTTTCATAACATTTTTGTATTCTGTTAACATTACAGGGATTTCACTCAATGGAACATAGCAATTTCCTACAGCTCAGCTAAGCTATAAAGTTGTTTAAATAATAGCAGAACTAAGGTAAAGCCAACATTTTTAACTAGAAAAAATCGATTTTGATTAATAATACGCAATCAAACAGTATGTGTTAAGCAAGAGCAGTCAAATAAATTAATGAACGACGACATCTCCACCTGCGAATATGAGAAGGAGAATTGAAGTTCAACCATCGGCGAGAAGAGAAGCGATAGCGAATTGAAGAGGACGGCGGTCGCGATATAGCAGAAGCTTTCCGGAACAAACTAAACGACATCGTTTGATAAGTAATTGCCATGGCCATTGCTTTCTATTAAAAATCTTGTTCAAGTGCAAACTATCCCACTTGAATCCGAACCGATTGCCGTCGAACTCCTTTCGTCTCATGCAGTCTCTAAATCAATCAAAGGAACAAGATTTCAGGTGGTTGGCTCTGGTACATCAGTCGTCTTATCTTCTTCTACTTCTTCTTCTTCTTGCTGAGGTTTGGGCGGATAAATCTGAGCGAAATGGGATTGGGAGCTGAGTTGTGCTGACGAGTCAAGATTTTTTTAAATGTGGGCCATGTATACGTGGCGACAGATGGATTTTTCCACGTAGGTGTTTGCATTTCCACATGATTATTATTCAAGAGGACAAGTATGACTCTTTTAAGAGTTCTAACTTCTAAATAATGTTCTGAAAATCGGATCAGACAATAACCCGTTTAAGGGTTCGATTTCTGGTTTGACCGGTTAGATAGGTCAGCTGGATCGTAATTTATAAATTTTTTTTAGTCTCAAAAGGTTTGAAATTCATCAAAAACACCCCTATAATACTCCCTTAAGGATTGAAATCTATTTAAAACACCATTGTCATGCGAAGATTCTGGTGAGTGTGGCAGCAACGACGATCGACAGCAATTCGAAGTTGGAATATTGGGGCTTTTGATGTGCAGGTGCCGGCGACTCTGATGGTGGTGCGACAGAGTTCCGAGTCCTATCGACATCGGAACTCGTCGGAATCAACGAAAGAAATCTGACGTCACGTAAAGCCATAAACTTTAGGTGGACGGCGATCGACGAAGGCTAGACGACGGTGACTGAAAATGGATGGGTTTGGTCGTGGAGATGCCATCCGTCGAATGGGGATGTTTTCTCCGTCGAAAGATACCTGAATCCGGCGGCGATTAGACAGCGATTCGGCACTATTTCGATAGTCCAACTACGGTCCAATCCGGTTTAACTTCAAATAGCGGTTTTTTATATATACCGGACTGGATTTGCCACCGGTTGCCGGTCAAATCGGTCCGACCGGGCGGTCTAGTCCGGTTTTCAAAACACTGCTTCTAAGAACTAAAGAAATCAATTTTCTGTGGTTATGTTTGTTTCCCTAGAAAATTTAATATATTTTCTTTCTAAATTCATATTAATAATTATTTTATCTCTACTTTTAATATATATTATTTCATATTTTTCATTGATGAACAGAACACATCAGCGCATTTTATTAAAAAAAAAAACCCATTAATCCTTGTACAACATAAAGAATTAAATAAATGTTATTTGTATCACAATTAACCATTGGCTTGTACCAGGATGATCAAGGCTTTAGGTTATTCAAGGTTTTATGTTTTAGTCCCATCAAATAGTCACAATCACTGTTTTTACTTTAAAATTAATTAAGACGCGTGCAAATTGATTAAAAATCCCAATCAACACACAAAAAATATATATATATATATATTTATATCATAATCTCTATTAATATATTTTATTCATCTTTAGCTTATTTAAATGGGTTTGGATTCATTGTTTCACTTACCATAAAAAATGGATTTAGTATATGGACTTTCATGTGTTATCATTTGTAAACTTGTCATATCAATTTAGTTTGTTCATATATATATATCAAAATATGCGATCAATTATTATGAAATGTAACTGATCCATGGGTAGGTCATATCCCATATGGTTAAGGGAATTACGGATAGTATAATTAGGTTTACAGTCTCAAGTTCGATTTTCTATATAAGCATACACAATTTAAGTGGAGAGTATTGTGCTAGTTTCTTAAGAGGATTAGTAGGTCTAACAGACACCTTGGTTGAAAAAAGTATTTAAAATATAGTAATAAAGTGGGATTGGATAGAACTCACTCTCAAAAGCTAACTCAAGAGAGGAGAGAACCCAATCACTTATATACACTATAACAGCCCACTATTGGGGCGATGTAGGACAAATTCAACTTCTAACATCCTCCCTCACGCTCGGCGTGCAAGGTCGGAATCCAAACCCATCATCGTCCCAACCAAAGAGGAGAGAGAAACAAACATGGCTCTGATACCATGATAAAGTGGACTTGGGTAGAACTCACTCCTAAAAGTTAGTTCAAGAGAAGAGGGAGCCCAATCACTTATATACACCATAACAGTCCACTATTGATACGGTATGGGACAAATTCAACTTCTAACCTGTAACACATAATTATGTGTAATACCATTAATCACTGTATTAATTTACATGTTCATTGAGGTAAGTTGGTAAGCCAGCCATCTTGGTTGATGAAAAGTGAGGTTGAAAACTGTTGATTCACCGACTGTTGGTCACGGGGACCAAACTTCTTTTCCCACGATACTCTCTTTGAAGTGTCAGACCCTGGACCTTCGCACCCAATCTCTCCATACACCAAATTGCTTCTGCATCAACAAAAAATCAATACACAAATCTTATATCATCTCTTTTATTTGGAGATGTTCCAGATTGAATACAGTCGTCCGTAGGTGAGACAGTATATGAATTAACTTACTCTTGTCCCTGGAAATTCCAGGCATCCCATCCTGGAGAAGTGACAATAGGAGAAAACCATGTGTTGAAGAATAATACTCTAGAATAAGGACGGTAGGCTCGTCCGAGATAAGCTTGCCCACTGCCTGTAACTATGCCTCGTCTGAATATGAACCCGGTCGTTTCATTGGAAGATTCTCGTGCCTGAGCTGTTATATACCCGACAACTGATTCTCCAGGAAATATTAACCCACCAGTGTAATTCACCACACAACGCTGAATCAATAACACAATATACATATTCATCATTGTGAAAGTAATTGGAACATATATATATATATAGAAATTGAGTAATAAATTTAAATTGTACTTCATAAACAGATTGTCCATTGCCGAAAATGAAATCTACAGCTCCTTCTATGTAACATCTGGAGAAGAAATGGCGGCCTTGGACATCCCATAATGTATCTTGTACTCCTTTGAAAGCACAACCAAAAAAAGCTGATTTATCACCATAAATTCTTGCTGCTAATGCTTGTGCTAGGGCTGGGGAGTCCCATGATTTTGCTGCACCGAAATCTACTTGTTTTTGCCGCAGGTTTAGCCCTTCTGCAATGTTATATGAATTCTGCAACAGGAAATTAAAAAACTTGGATTTTTAGAAGAGACAAAATGTAATTAAATTAGAATTTTATATCTTTACCTCGAAAGTAATGCCCTTTGCAACAATATTTTCTGCAAATGAGGAGAAAGTTGCACTAGTATCTGTTCTTTGATGTGCATTATAGGTTATTTTTGTCGTACGAGAACTGTTTCCTTCAAGAACTACACATGGTTTGTTTGCCGGAATTGATACTTGCTCTCTACATAATCAATATCCATGACAAATAAAAGTTACAATACAAATACTGAATTATATAGGAAACACTATATATTTGACTTCACTTACGTGTAGAATCCGGGGCTAATCTTAATTTTGATCCACTGATCATTGTTTTCAGGAATGGCATCAATGGCGCTTTGAACCGTCGTGAATTGGCTCTTGAACTTGCCTACATAGAGGGTATCTTTTCCAGCTTTACAAATCACACCTGCAGCTCTACTAGAAGAAATTGTTAACAATATACAAATTATAATGAACAAAGACTTTGAAAGAAACTGCATTTTGATTCAATGCATACGTTATTTTCATGCACTGTCTAGAAAATGAAATGAAGAAAATGGGTGTTATGTAGATGATTTTGTAAAACGGTAATTACTCATTAAAGATATATTACGCTTATTAAACTGCAACATATTTATTATTTCCAGATTGGGATCATGGAGCAGATTGAGGGTGTGATTAATCAAGTAACTAAAGATTGAAGAAATTATATGTTGCCATCTATATAAGTTGGATAAGATAGATAGTATGGATGGGGAATAAAATTTTATTTGGACAACGAATCTTTCTCAAGCATGCTGTTCTCATCCAGGGAATGCATTAATTTGGAAGGAAATATCATCAGTGAAAGATTCAAGGGAGATTTGGTTGTTTATTCATCCATCCTTCTTTATTTAAGAAAGTTTTCAAAACTGTAAACGATGCAGTTTGTTATGCCTAAAAAGTCACGTTGATGTGAGCTCAATAAATATCCTTTTTATAATAGTTGCCAAGTCCATACCTCTTCAAAGATATTCATATCAATCATATCTCATTTCAAGAGATGAACGGACGAGAGCCTTCCATGTGTCAAAGCAACTTGCAAAACACTAATTACATTGACCTCAAAGGTGTATAAATTGACACTTCTCTTCCCGAAAAGGGGGGTTGGGCATATAAGAGCTAGGCATTGATTTCAAATCAATTCTTTCTCTATGTAAACACTGTATTTCTTCATCTTTGTATGTCTTATGGGCAATATCATAGAAATAGTCAAAGATCAATAAAATTATAGGACTTGCTTTAAGCATCCGAACCACTATAAAAACCCCTCTTATTAGTCTATTTTTTTATGTTTCTGCAACATATATAATCTTAGCTCCATATTCAAATCTCATGGATCCATCACGTGTAATTTCTAAGACTCCCTTAGTACTTTGCATGTGCGAATCGTTGATGTCCAAAATCAAGCATCAACAGAGTTCATCCATCAGACATTCTCTTCAACCATTTCACCCGCTTAGACATATTTGCTCTAGGTCCACTGTATATGTGATTGAGTTTCTGCATATATATACAACAGAAGAACGAAATTAAAATAATATCTTTTTTGCGTTTTAAGGAGTGTATATGTTAAGAAACTTCCTCTTGGCCATGAAAGGACCACGAATTCCAACCCTCTGGAACAATAATTTCAGAGAAAGCTGTCTTGTAAATTATAACTCTAGAGTACTTTGTAAGAGCTCTTCCCAAATATGAAGTTCCTGTGCCCACTATATTGCAATATTTGAACACAAAACCACCTGTTTCAGCTGTGCTATTTCGGTATTGAGCTGTGATGAAACCTGAAATACTTCCACCCAGAAGCGCGGCGGTAACATTTATGATGCAGTGCTGCATATATCGAATGTGTTAAAGTATAAATATCACAGCATATGATAAATTAATGTCAATGTATGTGAAAAAAAATTGCTTTTGTGAACCTAATATATATGGATTGGCCACCACCCTAGATGAAATCAACAGCAGCTTGAATGTAGCAAGATTGAAAATAATGACGACCTGCAGAATCTGTCAATGTGTCTTGCAGGCCAACAAATCCACACTCATAGAAAGTCGCCTTATTGGCATGAATTAGAGCCGCCGGTGCCCATGTAATGTTTCTTCTTTCAGTACTATGATCACCACGCGAAATGAGAACATTAAAAGTGTTAAGTCAATAATACATAAGTACATATATTAGCTCAGAGTCAAAATCTGCGCGCGAAAGTAAGTTTTGAGCCGGTTTGATTTCTTAAACCTTGAAGGTTATGCGTCTTGCCATGAAATTTTCTGCAAACAATTGGAAGGTAGAACTTGCAATGCATTCTCCAGCATCATTATATTGGATCACAGTTGTTCTACGGCTCTCTCCATCAAGAATAATGTATGGTTTCTCTAGAGGGATTTTAACCTTTTCCTTGTATACAAATACAATAGCATGAACACATTACATGATCACTGTTGATGCGTGATTTTGACACCAACTAATCGACACGTGCACAATCGTTGGTTGGCCAAGAGACACAGTGGGTATGGATAAAGTGTGTAGTAAATATAATAGTGAGGGCTTTTTAAAGTGGTTTGGATGCTAAGGTAGCAAGTCCTATGTCCACTAATAGTTGTATTAATCTTGTGGGTCAGGTCGCAACAGCGGACTGACTTACAAAATAATTAGTGAAAAGTAAATGTCAAGATATAAGAGAGAGAGGGATAGCTAATTCAGAGTGTAAAATGGCCGAATCCTCTCAATAAAGGGGTCTTTTCCTTTTTACAGTGAGATGAGTGCAAGTAATCATCATTAAATCTGTGGATTGGTGTGAATGTCAGGACAAAATCCGGCTTTATGTCACATTGTCCATCTTCCAAACTGATTTCACGCGATTTGGAGCAGAGAATGGACACGTGGGATCTTCACAGCGTCTGACAGGTCTGGCGCGCGCTTACCGTTCTGACAGGAGCAGGTCACACTCCATCACGTAATTTCCCACGTCAGCCCTTGATTTCCCAGGCATAACAATCACTAATCACAAAAGCAATTAAAAATATACAATTACTTGTAAATGCCAGCTTTAACATGAATTCGAGTCCACAATGTGTTGTGGTGTGGGACAGAGTCAATAGCTTTTTGCACACTTGTATAATCTCCTTTTCCCCATTTATCAACTGTGATGGTCTTTGCAATTTCATCTCGGTCAGCCATGGATGCAGTAATTAAGCAAAGCAAGAGAGGAACCATGATCAGAATTTATTTGATTTTGCAGAGACCCCAATTGACAGAAAGTTTGAAAACACCATTTTAATCTGTATAATTAGGATAACAATGTGCTTGAGTTGGAAAGTATTAAAAGCGCAGTGAAATTTTTGGCATGATGTCTAGGCTCACATGTAAAACCATTGGGGTTCTTCATTGCACGATGTGCTGTGGTATAATTGCCAATGAAAACACCATATTAATTGTTTCATTAAGTCATTCATCAGGTATCAGAGCTATTTTAAAGCAATTTGTTCTTGGATCATGTTTTCATTGTATTACTCTTTGTTGCAATTTGCAAAGGGTTTATTACGATGCCATTCCTAAGGTTTGATATAGAAAAACTTTCACCCTCAAAATATTTTGATTGATTGGTTAACAGATTTGGATAAAAGACTAGAAGTTTATGCCAAATCATTGGTCGTTTTAGCCAAAGGATAAAGATTGGTTCACAATTTAATCTTACAAACCTTCTTTCACAACTTTAACATGACAGCTTACAATTAGACAAGCAAGATCCATAACAAGTAAGCGGGATCCGTTTGTAAACTGATCAATTACAAACTGTCACATCGAGATTGTAAGAGAAAGTTTGTGAGATTTGATTACAAATTAATATAGTATTACCCTTTAGCCAAAATAGGTGGCTGTTTCAAATAAAAGGCAAACCATTTTGGTAATATTGCATTTATCGAATGTAAAAAAGGTCTATAGTGTATTCAAATTATCTTTTCAATGTCTTGCACTGTTACAGTTAGTTGACAAAACCTCCATTTGGGAGTAACAGTGCTAGTTTCCCAAAATCAGGTGAAAAGCGTTTCACACCAAACCTTGGGGAGGAAAATGTAATTAACCCAGTTACAAAAGCCCAAAATTGTAGCTGGATTAGATTTGGGTAGCCCAAAGTCAATTAAATGGCCCTGAAGGCGTTCACGGTCGTTCATAGAAACTTACTTGTCGTATATCATTTGCTGCAGTGAACGACAGGTCAGTAGGTGGTCTCCAAGATAAATAACGCGCCAACCTAACGGACCCGTCTGTTACAGTTTCAACTGCAGTCGTCCACTTGAAAAATATGTGGCAGAGGGCTTCCCAAGCCCGTAAAAAATCTGTTACTGCAGTAGCCTGATAAAATATACGTTGTCATTGGAGTTGGGCAGTTGGCTACTGACCAAGTCTGGATAAGGAAGAGGAGGAAGAAAGATGAGCACAGCCACCACCACTACCACCACCACCACCACCACCACCACAAATCTTCCTCATAATCTAAAGCCAGAAAACCTCTCAACATCAAACATACCCACTTCCCAACTTCCCCAGAAAACAATCCTAGACCTCTTAAACACAAAATGCACCACTTCTTTACACCATCTCAAGCAGGCTCATGCTGTGGTATTAAAGAGTGGCCACTTTCAAGACCATTATGTAGCTGGCACTTTAGTCAAGTGTTATGCTAATTCTCCTTCCAGCAACTTGGATTTTGCATTGAAGGTCTTCCATTATGTCCCTAGGCCCAATGTTTTTGTATGGAATCTTATGCTCAAAAGTTGCTTAGACCATAACGAGGCTTTTAAGGTAGTGTACTTTTATTATAAGATGGTGGTTGCTAATTCTAGGCCTAATAAGTTCACTTATCCTGTAGTTTTTAAGGCATGCACTATTACAGGAGCTGATAAAGAAGGGGTGCAAGTTCATGCTCACGTAGTGAAACTTGGACTTCATGGAGATGTTCATATTAAAAGTGCTGCAATTCAAATGTATGCTTCTTTTGGGCTTTTAATGGAGGCAAGGCAGTTTCTTGATGATGGTCAAGAGTGTGATGTCATTTGTTGGAATGCTATGATTGATGGTTACTTGAAATGTGAAGAGACTGAAGCTGCTAAAGAGTTGTTTGATTCTATGGTTGATAAAAATATTGGCTCTTATAATGCTATGATAAGTGGTTTAGCTAAGTGTGGAAGGTTTGATAAAGCAAGAAAATTGTTTGATGAGATGAGTGATAAGGATGAAATAACATGGAGTTCAATTATTGATGGTTATATCAAAGGAGGGTATTACAAAGAGGCCTTGGAAGTATTTAATCTAATGCAGAAAGACAAGATTAGGCCAAGGAAATTTGTTCTGTCAAGTGTGCTATGTGCTTGTGCAAATGTTGCTGCACTTGATCAAGGGAGATGGATTCATGCTTATGTGAAAAGAAATTCTATGAATTTGGATGCAGTATTGGGGACTGCATTGATTGATATGTATGCGAAATGCGGGCGTCTTGATATGGCATGGGAGGTTTTTGAGAACATGAAAGTGAAAGAAGTGTTTTCTTGGAATGCCATGATTGGTGGGCTAGCTATGCACGGCCAAGCAGGGGATGCAATTGAATTATTCTTTAAAATGCTAAGGGAAAGGATGAGACCTGATAAAATTACATTTGTTGGTATTTTAAGCGCTTGTGCTCATGCAGGGATGGTTGATAGAGGTCTAGAGGTTTTGAATAATATGAAGACAACATTTGGTATTGAGCCTGAGGTGGAGCATTATGGATGTGTGGTAGACCTGCTAGGAAGGGCAGGGTTTTTAGCTGAGGCTGAGAAACTCATTAGTACAATGCCAATAGAACCCAATGCAGCTGTTTGGGGTGCTCTTTTAGGTGCTTGTAAGAAACATAGAAATATTGAATTGGGTGAAAGGGTGGGGAAGATTTTGGTGGAGATGGAGCCAGAAAATAGTGGTCGATATGCATTGTTGTCGAACATCTATGCGAATGAAGGCAGATGGGATGATGTTGCTAAAGTGAGGAAGTTGATTAAGGAAAGAGGAATAAAGACAAATCCAGGAATTAGCACGATTGATTTGGATGGTATTGTTCATGAATTCAAAATGGGAGATGGATCACACCCACTAGTGAAGGAAATCCATTTGATGCTGGAGAAGATCATTGATAAGCTGAAGATGGAAGGCTATTCACCAAATGCTTCCCAAGTTCTGTTTGATATTGAAGAGGAAGAGAAGGAAACTGCACTTAAGTACCATAGTGAAAAGCTTGCAATTGCTTTTGGATTCATTAACACAAATCCGGGAACAACCATCCGCATTGTAAAGAACTTGAGGGTGTGTGAGGACTGCCATTCTGCCACCAAGCTAATTTCTAAAGTATTCGAAAGGGATATCATTGTAAGGGACCGTGTTCGGTATCATCATTTCAAAAATGGTAAATGTTCCTGCAATGATTTTTGGTAAAGTTCTGGTCAGAATGGATGAAGAGTGAACATGGGGAGTAAACAATAGAAATGCAGTAAAGGCAGTCATAAATTAAAGTATGTAAGGTACTTAAGTATGAGATGGCAATCACAATTCCAGCATTACAGGCTCAGGCTTAACAAAGAATGACAAGTAGCTTCTACAAGATTTTACTTAAAACTTCATTTCCTAGCCTCTTGAGAATGCCTATATGAATGAATATGTATATGCAAATACCCACAACCACAAGTGCACATGTTAATTTGTCAATATTTATGAGCAGTACGTTGTGACAGACCGCAGAGGCTAACTTTCATAGGAGTTCAAATAATCTAAACAGCAGTTAATTTCTAGCAGAAAACAGGCTGAGGAATGTGTCATCTTATTGTTCTTTTAGATTTGGCTAACTGTTAGATGTAACAGAAACATTCTTATAAAGCACAGAAAGGAATGATTATCAGAAATAATTTAAAATACACTTTTTATAGAAAGGATTGCCGAATTTAAATTATTTCTTTATTTGGTATTGGAGAGACAAAAGAAAGAGGGATGACTTCATAATCAATCCTGAGTTTTTGTGCAGATGTCACTTTCAATAAAGAGAAAAGAACTATAATCTAGTTGAGTCTCACTGAGTGCTGGCTGAATGCTTTAGATTTTCATCTCTCACAGCATTTCAAATGTTAACTCATACAAAACCACCTTCTTTATTAGTTAATGCTCATAATATTGGCCCTCAAATAGAATTTTCAAGGAGCCTCAATGCATCAACAAGTCTCACTCCTGATTTATAGGATCATTAGATGAATGAGTTTTGTCATTAAGCTATCGATCTTCTCTCAAATCTTAAGCACACAAAACCTTACTAGTCATGATCCTTTTATTTAGATATAGTGTACAGAACTTTTGTATTTTGGCTCAAGGCCATACAACCATGACAAATTATAGCACACACAACACAGCATATATCATTAATACTATAAATCTACTTAGTTATGTAGAATGCACATCTAAGTAGCAATATCAAGCTTGTAACACAGCACTGCGACACCCTTCAATCACACTATAAATTTATCTACACATTTTTTTTTTCTTCACAACTTGTTAGCAGCTTTTCTTAGGCCCACAATCATTGGTATAAACATGGTGAGAATCGGTAGATGATCCGGAAGGATTCCCATAATTTTTATAACTATGGTTCACCTCATCTGTGCTATCATCAGGTTGCACGTTCGATGAAGTCCGGGTGGTTTTATCATTTTTAGCAGCAACTGATGGCACTGAATCAACTGTGGCACCATTGTTCACCTCCAAAGTAAACCTTCGGGCGTCAGCTTGAAGGTGTAGTGAGACCAATCCAATGACAAATAGAACTACAAGTAGTATCTTCATGATTATGACCTATAGTATTAAAACAATATAAGATTAATGATTGCTTGAGAGTCATGATAAAATAATATTACATGAATGCAACTTCAACTCAAATGAACTAGGACATACCTTATCTTCTTTCTGTATAAGCTTTTCTTGATATGGGCTGGTGAATCTTTCTTCCAAAGAAGAGATTATATAGGCTAAATGTATTGCTTAGTGGGAAAGATTTAGTGGAGTAATCACAATTTTTTTGACCTTATTGGAAGGATATTAACAAGTGTGCTTCAAAGTGGCCATTATAGAAGTAATTTAAATATGAAATTTAGCTACAATGGTGTGAGGTTTATATGGTGTTTTTAATGTTCAACAGTTTGATTAGGTTTGCATAATGGTGTTCAACTAGCTAGTAGTGCATGCTACTAATGACATACAGTTACCTTCACTAGAATGGTAATTAGTGGATGACAAGTATAATGTCATTAAAATAATTGATCATCTTTGGATTTCTATGTGTTTTGGCAGATGAGAATGCTATTGATATGGGTAATGGGTAATCACGAGTACAAAACCTAGGCTATTTGGGGCGTAAACGACTTTTGCCGAACCAAGGTTTGCCTTAACGACACATTCCCATCCAAAATATTTTAAAATACCATTTTCTCACCCAAAGTTTATATTCCGTTAATACCCAAAATATACTTCACTTTCTCAACTAACGTTCGGCGAGCTACCAGCAAGCAAGATAAAAGAGGTTTTGTAGAGTGGAGGCTAGTAGTGGTGGACTGAATGATGGTAACCGATTGAATATCCACCTTCGAAATCAGTTAAGAATAAGAAACCCTAACTTTGCAGTGGTCAGTAACTGTTAGAAATTAGGTTCCAGAGCGAGAAAGGTTTTATAAAGAAGAGATCGAAGTATAAATTTTGGGTGAAAAGATATTTTGAAACTTTTTTGGGTGGGAAAGTGTCATTAAGGCAAACCTTAGGTGGGAAAAAGTCGTTTACTCGCTATTTGGGCTTTAAAACAGGTCTATATTGACCTGGCAGAGGCTCAACCTAAGGCAGAGGCTCAACCTATCAAAAAAGTGTGGTCACCAAGTGGATAATGTACAAATTATTCAACACTTCCCAACTCACAATGTAACTGATTAAACCGAACCATTTATCCATCTCTAAAAAGCCACTTGCTTTCCCTAGATTCCCTCTTCCAAAACCCAACTGCACATCCATTTCATGAAACAGCAAGGACGTAATTGTCCCAGTATATTTCAAAATATATAATCAGTTTATCAGTTACCAGCTAAACAACCAGGCCCTAACCATGAAACTGCTGTCACCACCACCTTCTTCTTTGTCTCATCAAACCACACTCTTCTTCTTCTCTTCAAAGGCAAAACTTCTAAACCCCACTACAGTCTCAAACCATTTTTATCAATGCAGAGTGAAGCGCCAAGTTGTTACCCAAAAAATGGTGGTAAAAGCATGTGCAACAAAGGTAGAGCAGAAAGATGTGAGTGTTTCGGAAAGTGGTTCGAGTGAGTGGGGGAAAGTGTCTGCTGTATTGTTTGATATGGATGGAGTGTTGTGTAACAGTGAGGAGCCTTCAAGAAGGGCTGGTGTGGATGTTTTTGCTGAAATGGGTGTTAAAGTTACAGTGCAGGACTTTGTCCCTTTCATGGGAACTGGTAATAACTAAAAGTCACTAATTACTTTTGCATTTTAGCAGTCTATTTGATAAAGCGATTCAATGTGTAATCTTTTGTAGTATTTTACTGAATGATGATCAATTTGATTTTGGCTAAATTGATTGTTAATTGTTAACTTCAATTGCATGGCTATGATGAGCAATTGAAGAATTGTAATGGGCTGTGTTTAATGGCTTGGAGCTTAGATTAATATAAACATGGTTTTTCTGTTTATGAAACAAAAGGAGGTCGATAACTTGTTACAAGTGAATGAGGAAGCAAACGTGATGTGCGATTGATATTACTTTCAAAGATACAATTTTTAAATATAAAGAGAACTAGTTATGTTTGAATGTGATGGTTCATTCTATTATTGTATTAAACTGGAGTTTTGATATGTAATTTTAGCTTTTAATATTTACGTGTCCTATGAAAATGTAATAGGCGAGGCAAACTTCTTAGGAGGTGTAGCTTCTGTTAAAGGAGTGAAGGGATTTGATCCTGAGGCGGCCAAAAAAAGGTTCTTTGAGATATATCTGGAGAAGGTCATTAATCTAGTATTAAACCACATATTGCAGTGAAAAGATGGTTACTCATTACTCACCTCTGATTTCGTTCAATGCTTGCAGTATGCAAAACCGAATTCGGGAATAGGATTTCCGGGAGCCCTTGAACTGATTAATCAGGTATCTAGGCTAATTAATGTCAAATGTCATTATCCTAATTACTTGTTGCTGCAATTAAAGATTTGGCTAATGTAATGCTGCTGTAAAACAGTGCAAAAGCAAAGGCCTAAAAGTTGCTGTTGCATCTAGTGCTGATCGCATCAAGGTTGACGCAAATTTAGCTGCTGCTGGTTTACCAATATCAATGTAAGCTAATCTTGTCATGGGCTCAGTTTCTCAAGTTTATAAAACACACTTGAATATTTACCTCAATCTCATATTTTTTAGTGGTTTGCATTTGGCTGTGGATCACTGAAACTCCCGCTTGCTGTGATTGTTGTGTTGCCATGATCAAAATTGTGGCCTTCACATTGACTCAAACTCAAATCACTAGGATTATATAAAAAATATACTTAAAGCAATATTTGGTTGGTGGGAAAGAAAACCTTCTAGGAATCAGATTAGTGTAGACCTTCAAGTTTAGACTGTATTTTCAACCTGTATGGCCAAGGTTTTATGTTGTTACTTTATTGTTATCCTCTTGTTGTCAGGTTTGATGCTATTGTGTCAGCAGATGCTTTTGAGAATTTGAAGCCTGCTCCTGATATTTTCTTAGCTGCATCAAGGATCTTGAACGTGCCCACTAGTGAGGTATACCACTAGATCCTGCAGTGTTATTTCTTTACTGATATTGCCAGTGCAAGGATTTTCTTCTTAATTTTTTTGGGTTCAACAGCTAAAAATATGAGTACAGCTGCATAGTTTTTTATTTTGCAAAACATTATTTTTGGCAGCATATGTGTTATTATTTTCTGGGATGAAATGTGTTTTTTCTTAGTAAGTGCTGGCAAGTCTGAAAGTGTCATTGCTTGCTAGACTTGCAATATATAGTCATTTAGCATAACTCTAAGTGTATATATATAAGATTTTCATTTCAAAATGTTTCTCAAGCACTTTCAGAAATTTTGTCTTGTCAGCTTTATCACAGATTAAATCCATAGAAATTTTGTCCTGTCATGCTGCTTTACTATCCATTTAAAGAAATTTCTCAGATACTTCTAGTGAGTATTCATCAACTGAATTCCCAAGTCTTTACCAGATATTCAATGTTTTTGTTTTTTTATTTATTTATTTATTTTTTTTAATCAGGAGATTTCTTTGTATGGTTTATCATTATGTTGTGTGATCAAGAATGATTTCAAAATAAATGGTTAATTGTTTATTTTTTATGATTTTTTTTTTTATATGTATGATTATAATCTTTGCCTACTGTTCCCAGTGCATTGTTATTGAAGATGCACTAGCGGGAGTTCAGGCTGCTAAAGCTGCACAAATGAGGTAAATATTCAAATCCGTGCTTTGGTTGGTTTTCTTAAGATAACCATTGTAATTTGTGTCTTCAAACATTAGTTGCTTTCACAAATCTCTGGACTTGCTGGATCTAAGTTGAACCTCTTTCCTTCCCTTCATATTATCATGTTCTATTAGTCATCCGACTCTTGCTTTATTAGTTCCAATTTTATGTACCAAATACGAACTAAGATTTTTTTTTTTTTGGGTAAATGGTACTTATTCTCTGCTTCTTGCAGATGTATCGCAGTGAAAACTACATTGCCAGAGGAGATTCTAAAAGATGCTGGTCCATCGCTTATCAGAAATGAGATAGGAAGTGTTTCACTTGATGATATTCTCAGTGGTGGCTCTGATTATAGTATGTAGTCCTGAGAATATGCTCAAACATTTCTTTGTACCAGTGCCATCTATAATGTAAAATGGTGAAACAACATTGTGCCAATATTTTCAAGACTATGTTTTTAGTAGTTTATATTTTCTTGTAATTGATATCTTTTGTAATGGAAAACATTCTCCTGCACTGCAAAAGTGCAACCTTCTGCTCAGTGCTCCAATTGGCTGAAATTATATTCTGTGCGTATATTTTAAATAAAATGGTTTATCAAGAACTTGCATTTAGAACTTCTGAATGATGATATTCTCTTACCAACTCTTTCAAAGGGGACAGTAATAATTTTTACATTCTGGCACAGTGAGATCTAATAAGAATGTGTCATTGCAGATAATGAGAGTTTTCCCTCAAAAAATTCATCTGCCATGCCCAAAGAAAGAACAGATAATGGGCCCGTCCAGGTTGTAGGTGCTACCAGTGACAAAAATCTCTCAACTTGGGGGTAAGACAGGCTATATATCTGCAAAGTTCGAGTCAATCCATGTTAAATGTTCACACTATTCGTTATTCTGTGTCATTATTAGTTTTGTAGTTTTCTCCTCTTATCCATTTCTTTAGTTTCTCCCAACAACATTCAAACTTTAAGGAGCTTTTGATGCGATGCTCCCTTTTGAATATTGGTTTCCTTTGATACTGTTTTTGTTCTGTCTTCTAGAGAACTATGTTTAGGAATGTTAACTTGAACCATTTAAATTGGTTAGCTAGATACTCTGTATGCATAAAATCCCAATGATGAGCAGTTCAATAGCTGAGCATAAAAATATTTGTTTCGAAGTTTCATTTTCTGACAAACAGATCCTTTCTGAGAAAATATTTCAGCTTGAGGTCGCAGAATTAATTTATGGACAGGTTGCAGGGTTCTCGGCGAGAAGTACTGAGATATGGAAGTTTGGGAGTTGCTATATCTTGTCTCATCTTCACAGTTTCAAACTGGAAGGTATAGCAAACTTGATCATATGAATGTTGGAGTCTCTGTTGGATTTATGTTGGAATATCAGCACTGTTTTCATTGAGTAACTAGAATATTTGAAAACTTCTTTACTTGTCATTTTAGTGAATATAAAACTATTGTGTTTCCATAGGCAATGCAATATGCATCTCTTAAAGCTGTCTGGAATGGGTTATTTGGAGTCAACCGTCCATCATTTGACCCAAATGACGGTATTTTCATGTTCCATATGGTTTTCATTGTAAAGTGTATAAATAGATAATGCAATTTAACATAATATAAGATGTTAATCTATTTCCTTTGAATCATTAAAGGAGACTCATCACGATCAGCACGAGTCCAACAATTTGTGAACTATATTTCTGATGTTGAAAACAGGTAAAAAGACTAGCTTTCACCTTATATAATAAGTTATATTAAATTTCTCTTCAATTTGTTAAGCCATTCTGCAAATCAATTTTTTTGTAAGTGCCTTGATGCTTAATCTGTTTAAAATGTTTTTTTTTTTTGGTCGATTTAGGAAAACTACTCCCATTGTACCGGAATTTCCAACGAAACTTGATTGGTTGAATACAGCTCCCCTTCAGTTTCGCAGGGTAAATGATTTAACTTGATTCATAGAATTTCATTAACCTTCCAAAGAAATGTAAATGAGTTTATAGGCTGTCAAACATATTACTTCTTCCTCTTAAATTTGCTTAGAGCCAAAGTGGTTGCATGTTATTCAAACTATGTATCCTAATATGGCAATGAGATTTATATGTTTCTCTTCAAAAAAAATAAAAAAAATAAAAAAATGGCAATGATTCTTTTGCATCTCTAATTTCAAATACAGAAAATTTGTTTGTTTTTAGAGCTTCAGTTCTGAATTACTTCAACTTTTATGCAGGATTTGAAAGGAAAAGTGGTCGTGCTAGATTTTTGGACTTACTGTTGTATAAATTGTATGCATGTGCTACCAGATTTAGAGTTTCTGGAGAAGAAATACAAAGACAAGCCAGTAAAATTCTCTTCGTTTATTATATCTGAATCTCTCAACTATTTGACGTTTCTCTTTTATGGGGTTATGCTTTTGGTGAATTGCTCAGATAGTTTTTTGAATTAACGTTATGTAACATGTTAGAGAGAGAGAGAGAGAGAGGGAAAGAGTGGCAGTATAACCATGAAAGATGACATTGCAAGATTGATTGACTTGGGTGGAGGGCAATACGTGGAAAGTTTCCGATATGAAAAATCATTTATACTATTTTTTTGACTATTTCCTTGCATGGCTATTCATGTTTGGTTTTCCATGTTTATTGGCAAGTTGAGCTGTATTCATTTTCACACAGCAAACTGCTCTGGGCAATGATGTCTTGTTTATTGCCATTTGTGGATATATACTGCTATGGCGTATTAAATTGAGTGTATAGTTCTAACAGGCAACTCTATATATAATTCTAAATTTTAAATGTTGCCGACTATAACACAAATTTAACAAATAACAAAAGTGTATTTAGCTAGATAATAGTGCAATGATCTGAAGCTATCAGCTAGGATACTTGCCTTTGTAATATGAAATATTTCTTAACCTTCCTATCTACTACTGATAGTTATTGGCGAGTTGATTGGCCTAACTATTGAACCTTGTTCTAGTACATGATTGTTTCATATGTGCTTTACGTTTGTACAGTTCACTGTTGTGGGAGTACATTCAGCTAAGTTTGATAATGAGAAAGATTTGGAAGCCATTCGTAATGCAGTGTTACGCTATGGCATAACTCATCCTGTAAGTGTACTGCTTGAAACCTGGTATGAGCATATTCATGATTGTTCTCTAAGTATTATGGATATCATACAGCAAAATATTATTACTTGAGTAAAACNGACTCTGGAACACCTGTTACTTCCTTAGCTGCTACAGTTGCATCAGGAATAGTGGCCTCTAATTTAAATGGCTCTAAAGCTGTTGAGGTTGCAGTGAAGGGCTTGCCAAATGAGAACAGCAAAGAAAGGTTAAAAGATGCAAATGGCGACAGTAAACATGTCTAACTCTTCTTCAGAGTCAGAGGATGAAGACAATGGGCCATCGAAGGAGGAGTGCATTGCTAAATTTAAGGTATCTTTATTGCTCTTATTTTGTTAAAATTTCCGTCAGAATAACAATTTCAGTTTATGTTTTTTACTGTCCTTCCTTTTAGGATTCCAGTGTTTGTCCTATAGATTCATATATAAATAAAATTTATAATATTTTGTGTTATTTTATATTTTATGAATGATATTGTCTGCTACTGTTGTTAATATTCTTTTTCGATGCAACTTCAAATGTAGCTTGTGAGAAATGCTAGTTTCATTAACTAATTGTTTAACATGCCAATGAAAATTTCACAGGAAATGCTTAAGGAAAGAGGAGTGGCTCCATTCTCAAAATGGGAGAAGGAACTGCCAAAGATAGTATTTGATCCCCGTTTTAAGGTTTGCTGAGTCTAAAGATTTTGAATATTTTGTTTGAGAATTGGAGGCCTTTTACCACAGGGTGATCTCACAACTTAGTAGATATCTAGTCCACTTTCTACTTCTCTTTTTTGACCAATGTAACTTTTTGTTTTATATCAAAAAAGAAATATTGCATCTTTGTTTAGTAGCTTTGGATGTGATATTAAGAATTTGCCTATAAAATATTTTTGTCTTCCTTTAAGAGGCAATCCTATACGAGGCCGGACACCTCGGTGTTCGAGCTCGGCTTATGACAAACGTACCGAGCTCAAACTTGAGCTCGAGCTTGGCCAGCTATAAAAACCCAGGCTCTAACATGCGGCTTTAGGTTATTACTTAACGAATAGACCGCTTCTGGGAAACTTAACCCTAAAGGAGAATTCCAAACCCATCTTATTGTTTGGTTTAGTTCTTCATGTTTTAATGTCATGCAACCCAACCTACATGGCTGTTGATTTGTTTGGTCAATGTAAGTTGCTTGTGGGTTGGTTGTTCATGCTTTAATATTACCATGATAAGTTTGGCTTATTAGGCTAATGTAAGTTGCTCACTTGTGATGAGTTGACTGCGTTTATATCTGAGGTTTGTTTTGTCTTGCTTAAGTTGGTATTTGTTTGTTTTTATAGTTCTTAAGTTGGTATATATTATTCTTGTTGTATCATATGTTAATTTTTGACAACCATGGTATTAATGTTTTCAATAGCATTTTCTACTTGTATCCTTTGTCTATACCCGTGCCTCATCTTTTGGATATACTTTTTAGTGGTTTAGGCTTATGATCTTTTAGTCTATCTTGTTAAATATGACTAGCCTCGAGATGGTGTGTTTATTATGCACTGAACTTACAAGTTCATTTTATACTGCAACTCCTTTTTTTCTTTCTCTGTGTCTGTGTTTATTTCAAATTTGATTTTTTTTTTCGTGCATACTGCAGTGTATGTATATTGTGCTAGATGGGAATATTTCTCATTCATACTGTGATGAGTTTGCTGCTTTGCTGATTGGGAAAGGCATTTTCTGTTGTAGGCCAACCCAAGTCAATCGGCAAGGAGGGCCTTGTTTGAACACCATGTTAAGACACACGCTGAGGAGGAACGTAAGGAAAAATGAGCAGCTCAGAAGGCTGCAATAGGGGGATTCAAGTAGTTACTTGAAGAAGCATTAAAGGTTTCAGAGCTTATATTGAATTCAAGTGTTTTCTTATTTTGCTAATGTTTACTTTACTAGCTAAGTGATCCATCAGATAGTAGAACACATTTTCAGTTATCTCCACTACAATCGGTGCTACCACCCCAGCTACACTACAATGCAAGAAAATATTTAACAAATTTCACTTCTTTCAACTTGCATTACATCAAACACACCAAACAACTAAATCAAAATCATAATTCAAACCCAATCCATCATTAAATCTTTGTAAATCGAAATATAAAATGGAAAGAGGAGATACACATACCGGACGAAATGTCAGGAGGAGGAGGGGGCAGATCTGTGGCGGAGAAGATGTAATGGCAGAGGAAGAAGATAGTGTTAATGGGCGAAGATAAAGATATAAAGGAAGGAGGGAAAAAGATGTAGAGGAAGAAGAGAGGCAGAGGAAGAAGAAGATGTAGATGAAGCTTAGAATAAACATCAACCAAGGGAGGGATGCGTTAATGGCGGGAGGAGGAAGAAGAAGAAGAAGAAGAAAGAAGAAGATGTTATGTTTGGTTTGTTTGCAAGAATTTCAGGTTTTTTGGGACATATTATAATTTTAAAAGATTATAAATACTACATTTATCTTAATAAGCATCATTAGTGTTTAATTGTTATTAGTTTGTCTAATAAAAAATAAGACCATTTAATAAAGACTAAAAAACTATATGACCTATATTAATTCAAAGCCAATATGTCTTTTAATCATTTGACCCCTGAGATAGGGTAATCGTTTTGGTAGGGTGGCTACATTCCTGCTGCAATGGGTGCGGTCTGTCCTGTCCCTTTCTGTCGCGGTGGGTGCTTTGATCAAGAATTCATTTTCTTCAAATAGTCATAGTACAAATATAATTCTTTTATTATATTCATCATGGGAAGCCATAGCAAAAGCATTAAATTGTTCACTAGATGTACTACTTTTCTATGGAGATAAGACATGGATTTACCAAATCTAAAACTTAAACATTGAAAAGAAAGAATAAGACAAAAAAAAAAATACAAAAAAAAAGAAGAAGGAAACACAAGAACTCAACATCCAAAGGACCTAAAGGGCCCTAACTCAATCATTAAATCTAAAACTTTAGTACCCTTAACTTCCTTTCTCTCTGACCCTTTTTTCAGTTGTTTCATTGTAGTCATCTTCTCTTTAGCCGTTAGTAATGGTTGTTGAGAGGAGAATGGGCGAGATCGATTGGTAGCCTCCTTGAGAAATGTCCGAGGATGGCAAAGGAATGCCAAATTGGGGTGGGTAAGGTTGATGGAAGATGAAGAAAGGACTGGGTCCGCTATCTTGGATCCAAGTCAGGGAAAGCTTGAAATTTTTGGGTCGGGTGTGTGTTATTCTTGGTGAGCTGGTCGAAAAAGGTGGATCATGGTGCAAAGGGACCCTTTTGCTTTAAGAGCTCTTCAAAGTCTTGGATGTGGGGTGGAGGCTGGAAGGTGATGAAACCAATGTGTTTTAGAGATGGCTAGTGTGGGAAAAAGCATTGTCAAGAATCGCACATGGGAAATGTTCTTTGATTATTCATTTAGGATGAGAGATAAATCTGAAACATTTATTTCTTGATGCAAAAAAAAAAAAAAAAAAAATAATTTAAAAAAAATAAAATAGATTTATACAGAAAGAAAGGATTCTTGAAGGTTTTCAATGAAAACTTTTACAAAATAAATTTTTTTGGAGATAAATTCAACAAAGGAGATTTATTTGAATATTTTAAATTTAAAAAAACATACAACGGCAATGTTATCTTATTTGATCTTCTCCAACGTTATATTCTTCAAATCTCTCCAATCTCTCTCTCTCTTAACCCTAACAAATCTCTCCAATTCCTCTCTCCTCTCAAATCTCTCACTGCCACGGTAAAGGTTCTCAATAAGGAGGGCCTTCAGGGCCACCGTGAATGGCTTGCATGTCTTTCTCTCTCTTCTTCGTTTTTATGTAATGCGGTTTTTCAATTAATTAATTGTTTTTCGTAGAAGGAGTTGTTGGAAAGAGCAATGGCCAGCCTTGTGATGGGAATGTGGACTTCAGATGTACTTGTTATAGTGAGATGATTTTTAAATCCTGAAGTAGGATATTCCTGATGATTGGACAGATGTGGAAAAACTTCCCATATGAGCTCATCATGTTTACGTTCTCAGAATGCTGAGTATCTGAGGAGCCATTCAATCTCTGTGATGCATTTAGATATCCTCCCTCAGGAATCCTGCGATTCTGCCACACCCGGTTTGGGCGACTACGGATACCCCACGAAGAGAGGACCTGGGAGCTGATGTTGGAAGATTATCGTCATCACTTACTTCTATTAGGATCCTGGTACAAACCGTAAAGAGGCACTGGCCATCAATAGCTTGTCTTGTGGGTGAAATTTATGTAGTAGTCACGTTGCAGAATGGATGGTTAGTGTTGATATTTTATACCAAAAGAATGAACAATTAGAGTTTCATTGTCAATTAGTAGGATTTGGAAGTTTTTTTGGGGTTGTTAAACAGTATATAGCCACAAGGAAGTCTAAAGTGATAATACTTTTCTGATCTTCTCTGAATTTCAGTCTTCGAAATGATGATAATGATGAGAAATTGCTTGATAATAATAATGAAGAATTTTTTTTCTTCTCTTTTTTTTTTTTTTTTAATAGATGGATGTCTTAAAAGTATAGTAATATGCTCTCATTTCTAAAAAATTGCTTAAGGCCCTATTCTTCTCCGTGGTAGAAACAGTTTTAAGCATACTTATTGTTTAGATTGCATTTATCAATTGGTGAGGAGCTTCCAGAAGGGCTGGATTGATGGATGTTTTTGTGTGAAATGGGTAGTTTGAAGTTACAGTGAGAGGATTTGTCCCTTCATGGGAACTGGTAAGAGTTTAGTCACTAATTACTTTTGCATTTTAGCAATTTATTCTGATAAAGTGATTCCAGTGTAATCCTTTTGTAAGTATTTTATGAATGATGATCAATTTGATTTTGGGACTAAATTGATTATTAATTGTTAATTTCAATTGCATGGCTATGATATTGATGGCAATTGAAGATGTAATGGGCTGTGTTTTAATGGCTTGGCGCTCACATAATATAAAACAATGGTTTTTCTGTTTAT